AGAGAATTCTAGGTAGGTTAACATTACCTTATACTGAATAATGTGGCAGGGTCCATTTAAAAAATTGACCAAACTCTTAAACAAAAATATCCTACTGGGGAAGGCTGTGTGTTTTCTCACAAGGGTGAATTATTCCTGGCATTTATATACAGCCACAAGCACACAATTCGTTTATTGATCTGTTCAAAGAACACACGATTAATTTAAAAGGTTCACGTGAAGTGAAGAAAATGGAGTTATCACGGTTTTTTTATTTTTAAGAAGAAAAGAGGGGAAAGGTTAAGTGGGCACTTCTCTGAAGGGAGAATAATGAAAAGAAGGCTACCCCCAGAAATCAGTTCTTGGGCCAGCCTTATTGATATAACACTGTGGTTAGAAGCACTGACTTTGAGCTCTGCCACTGCCAGCTCTGAGACCAGGGAAAATGATCTGGCTTCTCTGTGCCTTAGTTTCCTGCTAGAGTTGCTATGAAGATTAAAAAAAAGAAAGTCAGATGTTGAACACACTGTCTATGCCATAATAAATGCACCATACAGGGTAAAATATCTTCCTCCACCATGATCATCATCTTCCTCATGATTACCAGCATCTTAGAGGGATGTGAAGAAAAGGACTACACAGTGAGATTTCCAACATTGCAAGTGATAACAAAGAGCTAAGTTCATGGGAATAAACCATAGGAAGGGAAGAGAAGGGATAGATGAGTTCTGATTCAGGCAAGAACAGAATAAAACATTTGGAGGGAAGGAGTTAAAGTGTTCTCTGCACGTAAATACTGGAGAGGACCCAGAAAATGAGAGGAGCCTGTGGAGAGAGGGCTCCCTGAGAACAGAGCCCAAGACGGCTGCTGAACCAGTCCCACTGCCTGTCACCCTTTCTAAATGTCTGCTAGCTCCTTCTCTGATTTCCATTATGGCTGTGGCCCTAGAGTAGACAGTTGTCAGACTAGAAATGTTGCCAATGTATCTCTCAAAGAGGTCACCATGTATCCTAACACTCCAATTAATTCAGGAGAGTGAGGGAGATAGAGGCCACTGGAGCCAAGAGGGGAACTGAAGGAGCCAGGAGCTGAGATGGAGCTAACTGAGTGGAAGGAGAAAGCAAAATAGGTTGATTGAAAGCTGAATGCCCTGGGGGCACCTTGTGTTCTATCTTTCATTCATTTGGTTCAGGTCCTAGTTTCTGCCCTGAACAAACTCTTCCAGGTTTCTTTTCCAAATGGAGTTAAATCACCAAATTAATTCCCTGTGTAGGCTTTTCTTTTCATAGTCTTGTCCCTGTATTAGCAAACTAGCCCATGCCCCATGTTATGAGATAAGCCGGAGAAAAACTTCTGGGTCTGGGGCTGTCATGAAGCTCTTTTCATGCCAGAGGGTTTATTTTGAAGACTGGTGAGGACTTGGGCCTACTGAGAGGAGAGACAAGAGCATTTCAGGGCTATTGGACAAGGGAAGGTAGCTGGAGAGGGCAGAGCGAACTGTCGGAATCAGCAAGCAAGCAGGCTGGCTGGTTCACGTAACAGAAGAGCATGCAATGAGGCTGGAAAGCTATGGTTGCTCATTAGCAGTGGGTAAGCTTCAAGTTTGAAAAGAAAGATTTTTCTTAAAAAAAAAAAAAAAGAGTCCCTGCTATGTGCCAGCCTTGTACCCCAGAAAGAAGGGGAGAGGAAGAACCCAATGAAAGAACATTCCTTGAGACAACAGAAAATAGGAAAGAAAATAATTTAAACTCCAGCAAACATTAGAAATACACCAATCAGACTATTTTAAGGCTCTGGGCATCTGTGCTTGGGGAGAATGGGAAGAGAGTCAGACACAGAGAATAAGGGCGTGTAGACACAGGGAGGGAGATTTAGGAGTCAGCCTGTTCTGTTGAGGATTCCCTTGAAATTCTCACTCTTCAGGCTTCAGAACAGACTTGGGCCCTACAGCATAATGGTGTCAGGTGGTGAGGGTGGAGGACCGTAGGGAAAGGGGAGGAAAGAACATGGAAACATTGGGTATACATCCTGGACATATTTCACATTTGGTTTAGATTCAAATTCCCGAGATGCCAGACCTCTGAGCCTCACTCTCCCAACTACAGCTCCTCAGCTTTACTCTGCTCCACCTCACCAGGAGCAGACGCTCAACGCTTTCCACGCCACAGATTCCTGGCCTTGGGACCCCTCTGGGATCTTCTGGCAGCAAACAGACCCTTCATAGATTCAGTTTCATGTAAACAAAGCAAAAGCCAAAATTGAAAGAAAGGCAGGCTCTTCTTTCATGCTTGATGTCTTAGTTTTATTCTAATTTCTCTTAGTTTGTAGGCAAGGAAATAGACTGAAAATTTTCTTTGGCTGTTTTCAATATATTATCTGATAAAGGGCTTTATCCAGCATGTATTAAGAACTCTTACAAATCTATAATGAAAAGATAACCTAGTTTTTGAAGAATGAGTAAAAGACTTAAAAGACACTTTACAAAAGTAGATACAAGTGGCCAATAAGCATATGAAAATGTGCTCACCATCATTAGTCATCCTAAAATCATAATGAGATATCACTGCACACCCACTAGGATGACAAAATTTAAATGGACTGGTAATACCAAATGATGGTGAGGATGTAGAGCAACTGGGACTTTCATACATCCTGTTGGGAATCTTCAACAACACCTGCCCTATGACCCTACACCTAGATAGCTCTCAAGAGAAATGAAAGCCTATGTCCAGAGAAAGACTTGTATAAGAACTTTCAATCAGCCGTATTCATTATAGCCAAACACTGGAAACAACCCAAGAGTTCATCAGCTGGAGAATGGATAAACAGATTGTGGTGTATCTATACAATGGAATACCACTCAGCTGTGGCAAGGAAAGAACTACTGATACACACAAGATGGATGGATCTTAAATACAGCATGTTGCATGCAAGAAGCCAGACATAAAGGATTACATACTGTGTGATTTCATTCATATGAAATCCAATAATAGGCTAAACTACATCTGTGACGATAGAAATCAGAAAGTGGTACCTGAGGCTGAGGCGGCGGGCGGGCGCGGGGTGGGAGGGGTGGAGTGGGCAGGAACTGACTGGAAAGGGGCACAAGTAGACTCCAAGGGGCAGTGGAAAGGTTCATATTGTGTTTTTGGTGATGACTACATGGGTGTATAAAATTGTCAAAACTCATGGAACTGAATGCTTTAAATATGTATATCTTACTGTATGTAAATTATACTTCAATTTTTTTAGACACAGGAAGAAACATTTATAAGCCTCATCTATACAGGCCTATTCATCCTAGAAATTATCTCTTAAAATTACAAATCAATTCTCTCTCGTCTTCTTCTCAGTTTAACTCCTTTCTCTAGTTAGAGAATGAAGTGCTTTTCAAAGATGGGGTACAACACAAGCCTGTTTTACCTGCCAGCCTGCTGGTTCCCAGACCCCAAGGACTCCCCACAATAAGGATACTAGGTTTTCCTTCTGAGCTCAGTGGATCCCTTTGTTGATCCAAACAGATGTGGGGGCAGGAGATGGGAAGCCAGCACAGCGAAGGTGGTATTTTTATAGTTCAAAGGGCAAATACACTTTCAATGAAGAAAGCTTTTACTGTTAGACAAGAAACGGCATCCTGTGCCCCCGACAGCAGCCCCTCGTGCTGCCCTGCTTGCCTTTCCCATCCCACTCTGTACGGCCCCAGCACGGAATGTAAGAGTGCCATCTCCCAGCTGCCACCAGCTGGTCTTCTTCCCTTTGTCCCTGATGCTCTTGGAGCAGCCACGCTTGGTAACTGGGAGGTTGTGCCACATGTCAGCTGGGATGAGCCCAGCATTCTGAAAATCACTAAGCTGGGCCTCTGGGGCATGTGCTTATGCTGCCTGGGCCATGCTGCAACTGAGGTGGAGTGAGGCTTTCATTTCCTCTTCTCAGAAAAGAGGGTGACAGTCCCTGTGCCATTGCTTTCACAGGGCTGCCGTGGGGGTGGCATGAGATGATAGACCCAAAAGCCAGGTCAGAAAGTTTTCATTTGATTCCTATATCAGATGGGGTTGTTATCTAGCTCAGTACTTCTGAGTTCCTACTCTGTCAGTGATTGCAGTGGTGGTAAGAAGTGTAGGATTCAGTCTCCACGTGCAGTCACATATTTGAGAGTAAACTAGTGGAAGCCACATGAGTGAAGGTGTAGAGCAAGAAGCACCTAGAAAATCCATATAGAGCAAAGTTTCCATTCATTACATGCTTGAGTCATTAGAATCATAATGCCTTTCAATAGTGCAAGCTGTTTAGACTTCTAGAGGTCTGCTGTATGTTTACACCTTGTTTAGTCACCGTTCCCAGGTGTTCGCCTTGGTAGTAGAGGAAGAGAATCCCACACAGTAGAACACAGGAACCAGATTGGGACCCCAGGATTTGCTGTCCACCAGCTCTGACTGTGTACCCTCAGGCCATTCACTGGACTTCTCCAGCCCTCAGTTTCTGTTTCTTTAAAAGAGTTAGACTCAATACTTAATTTCTGGGACCTCTTCCATGATGAGCTTTTCAGAGTATCTGTTGTGGTATGGTGGACAAAGTCTGCAGTAGAAGTCTGAGCCACGTCCTTAGGTCTCCCCTCAAGAGCAGAGTGAACTCTAGGCAAACCAATCCATCTGTCTGAGTGAGCATCAGCATCCTCTTCTGTAAGACGAGTCTGGAGACCTCCACCCTGCCTGCCTCTCCGGGTCATTATGGGGGTTGAATGGGAGGGAGTATGCAAAATTTTTTTAAACCATAATTCTTCACATAAATGTTTGCTGCTGTTCCTTTGCTGTTGCTATAGACATTGAAGGACACGGAGAACACTTTTAAAGGCATGCCTACGTGAGCGCATGGCAGTGTTGCTTAAATGTAGTCTAGAGGTCAGAGATGCAAAGCAGAGGCTGATCTAAGTTGGGTTAGTTAGCAAGGCTTGGAATTGGTGAGCTTCAACTTAGCAGTCTCTTGTGGATCAGTGAGCCTATACTGATGGTGTCCCTCACAGGTGACAGCAGAGCTAGATGCCTGGAATGAGGACTTGCTCCGGCAGATGAATGACTTCAACACGGAGGATCTGACGCTGGCAGAGCAGCGGCTGCAGCGCCACACGGAGCGGAAGCTAGCCATGAACAACATGACCTTCGAGGTCATCCAGCAGGGCCAGGATCTGCACCAGTACATCATGGAGGTCCAGGCCTCAGGTAGGCAGCCTGTCCCATCCTTGTTCTCCAGGTGGGGAGACGATGAAAACCAGAACACAAGCTTGACTCCAATGAGCACTTCCACTCTGTTCATTCATTTTACTCCTACAGATACAAGGAATAGATTTTTGCCCTCATTTTGAAGAAAAAGAGACTGAAGCATGATTGCTGAAGTGACTTGTCTGAGGTTGCCCAGTCAGTCTATGGTAAAGATGGGAATAGGGCCAGGGTGTCCTGGTGCTGTGCGAAGAATGGGAAAAACCAGTGATGGAAGTTAACACAGATTCAAAAAAATGGTGGCTTGGAAAAAAAAAAAAAACAGGTGGGCTCCAAGAGCAGTCAGCCATCCGTGTGAGTTGTATTCAAATGTGTAGATACCTGCTATTCCATGCCCGCCTCCCGCTACGCACATTCTCCTCCCCTATCCTCCACCCCAGGGCTGGCTCCTTGTCTCCAGTTCATGCCTCTCAGAGTCCTCAGTTTTTTATCACTGGTCTGTGCATGAGCATAAGAAGTGTTGATAAAAATTTATAGCAACGTTATATAATTTTATAACTTCTCAAAAACACATGGCTGAGTCACCCAGATTTGACTTCTTTTCCTGCTCAGGATATATTTACTACGTGGTTATCCATCCAATGTGTGAGCCCTTACCGTTATACCTGCCACCCTCCAAAATGGCCTTTGATGGTAGAACTGGAGAGATTCATAGCAGCCCCCTAGTCCAACCAGTCCGAGAAAAAGAAGTTACTCATCTGGGCACATGCCAGTGGAGTGCTAGAACCCAGGTCTCTACGCCCAAACTCACCCATTGCCCTCCTCCTGGGTCCTTGTTGGCTCAGGCTCCTCACACTCCAGGAGGAGGCAGACGGGCTCAGGCCATCAACCCTTTAAAACAGCATTGACCCATGTGCCTGTTGATCATGAGAGATATTTAGAATCATGAGATTGTCAGGTGGACCTTAGCAATCAAACTGAATTTCTAATTCAGGGTACTCTGTTTCTTCTAATCACCTGAAGGAATAAATCATTTCAGCATTCAAAGGAACTTCACTTCTAACCGGAGGAGAGAGAACCTAGTAAATTCTATTTGCTTGAGTCAGCATAATCTTTCCTTGAATTTTCATTTGTGTTGTGAAGAGAGGCTGCAGCTGCCTATGAGACCCAGGTCTGTTTATAAGTGTGCAGACCGTGCCCCACATAGCCTCAGGAATGGCCGTTCATGTTATAGTCTATCTGGGGACTGTTTTAAAAGTGACAATGCCCAGGCCCCATGCCCAGGTCTTCTGGTGTAACTATCTCTGAATGGGATTTGGGCATCAGCAAAAGGCTCCTCGGGTGATTCCACTGTGTAGCCAGGGCTGAGAACCACTGCTTTACACCACAGTAGTTAAATCACAACAGCTGATGTCTATGGCTTGCCGTTGGACAGTGACTCCCAAATGTGGTTCCCAGATCAGCAGCACCAGCATTACCCGAGAATCTGTTATTAGAAATGCAAATTCAAGGGCCCATCCCTAGACCCTGCCACATCAGAATCTCTTGGGGTCAGGCCCAAAAATCTGTGTTTTGAAGCCCCCCAGGTGATTCTGATACACTGCTAATCTAGGACCACTGATCTAGGACCTTGCTACTCAAAGTGTGGACCCTGCACCAACAGCACTGGCATCATTTGAGGGCTGATTATAAATGCAGAATCCCAGGCCTTATCCCAGACTTATGAATCTGAATCTGCACATTAACAAAATCTCCACGTAAATCATGTGCACGTTAAAGTTTGAGAAGCAGAGTTCTAGGCCATGGCCTGTGCCTTCTTAAGGCCTTTTTCGGGAAGGGGGAGAACTGTGATCCTGTCTCTGTGTTTGAGAACCTTACCTGGACTCAGGGCTTCACCCTATGGCTTGCCATCGTGATCCTCATGATAGCGGGCTATCCAGCTATGCCTGGGAACCATGAAGAACGCCAACACGGTACCTGCAAGAGAGGCTGGGGCAGAGCAGCCCTGCAGGGATGCTCACCCTTCATCCCTCTGTATGATGCGTCTGGCAGGAAGAGAGCTTGTCTGCTGGGAAACCTGCGGAACTTAGGACCAGGGTGCTGGCATGACCTTGGGCAAGCCCACCTCTGTCCCAAGAGCCAGGTATCCATGGTAACAGAAAGCCTGCTGGGAGCTGGCTGGCAGTCCCTGAAGACTGCTTGTGACTGGGGGTTGGCTGTGCTTGGCGGCCACCTTAACCATGATGGCTGAGTGGGTGAAAACACCCCAGGCAGATGGGCTGCCCACCCCCGCAGTATCCTGTTCTAGAAATGAGCTAAGTCAAGAGAGGCTTGATTGGCCTCTTTAGCCCTCTCTGCTGGGACCGGCTGTTCTCCTGCTCCTACCGCAGCTAGCTGTTCAGTCTGGCATAGCCCATGAGGCTTCAAAGGGGATGAATCCAGGGGTGTCAGGGAAGCTCACTCCCTGTCTGCTGCTGAATGTCTTGGCCTGCAGAGGAGGCATCTGTCTCATCTCTGTCTTGGCGGAAGGGAGGGCAGAGTCATGCCAGAGCTGGGGATGGGGAGGGTTGGAGGTTGGAGGGCGGGCCTTGTTCCCAAGTGGCCAAGAAATGCAGAACTTCAGAGACACAGGACTGAGGCAGTACATGTCTTGGGCATTTATGACATATGTCTAACGAAATATATTTGAACTGCAGGTAAAATAAACTGTCGTCTTAGGAAAAGGACAATTAGCAAAATGAAGAATTTGGTTGGTATTTAACCCTCCATGGTAAATTAATTAAGGGCTCATGCTTTGATTTTGTAGGAGTTAATGGAAGTAGGGAATTTCCATATGCTTATTTTCAGGTGTGAAGTTCGTCACATTGAGCCAGGTTCTACTGAATCCCTCTGGCGTGCCAACAGTTCAACCAAAGCAAAAGCCTTTGCTTAAATCTATCTCAGCCCTAGGAACAGAAGGCAAAACAGGAGCAGTTTCTTCCCTTGCTCATTGTTCTTTCCTCACTATTGCGTTATCTATTTGGGCCTCAAGTTGGGAGATGGCAGGGTTTGCTGGAAATAGTCAAGCTGTGGAAATACAATGGCTGAATTCAAGTTCCAGTTCCACCACCAACATGTAGGCTGACTTTGAAAATCCTTTCTTTCTCTTTAGACGTTAGCTGCTGCTTCTGTCTAGTGTGGCAGGTGGACCTTGATTCCTAAATTTCCCTGCTGTTCTCACTTTCCTTGATTCAGCCTAAACACCCACACTGATTATGCAACAGGCCTTCTCTCCAATGTAATCTGACCATGTGACTGTTACACTTGACCTTAGGAGTAAGACAGGAGCTGCATATCTGTTGGATATATTGCTTTTGTGGTTTAATCAAAGCATCAAGTTCTTCTTTATGCAAGGTTTATAAGTGAAGCTTCTCCAGCAGCATGAGGGCAGGACTCTTTCTTTCTCCTCTTTACATTCCCAGAAGCTAGCGGAGTGGTTATGTCTTGCACAAAGCAAGTTCTCAATAATACTGTTTGCTGAATTAATCAAGATTGAGCATCAGTGTGGGTAGAACGGATGTAGGTAAAAACAATGGGCCACACATAATTTTGCTTGCGTCGTAAAAGGCCTTTTTTTTTTCCAGAATGGAAGCTACTCTGGGGTTAATAGGAATGTGGATCTGGTGGGGGCTGAGGGGAGGGGAAGAGAACCTCGATGTAAAGCAATGGTTCTCAGCCTGGCTGCATATTTAGAATCACCTGGAGAACTTCTTAAAAATTCCAAGGTCTGGGCCCCACCCCTCAGGGATTCTTACTTAATTGGTCTGGAGTGGGCCCAGACTTTTTAAAACTTCCCAGGTGATTCTAATGTGCAGCTAGGGTTGAGTATACTAATCTAGAAACCTCATTAAAGGACTTTGGAATTTCCGAACTGGGTGTTATATTGAGAGAGTGACACAGAAAGGAGTGGGGCAAGAAAGAGAAAAGGTGTTCTGTGTCTGAGGCAGACACTGATATTTAAAGAACACAGTCAAAAAGCATGTTACAAGTGCAGACAGCGTAGCTAGGAATACCTAAATCTTTCCCTAGACGACAGCCACTCTCTCATAGAGGAAACTAAAACGGTACCCTCACCTTGGCAGCAAAGGAAAGCAAAGTAAGATTTTATTATTAGCTGTAGCCTTGAGCCCTAAATAAAGCAGTGCCAAGCATTCTTATAACTGAGTATAGCATGAGGAATATCTCTGTCCCTGGATTGCTGGCCATTATACCATCCTATCCAGTGGGTCCCAATCTTGGTTACATGTTGGAATCACCCTGGGAGCTTCCTGATGCCTGGGTCCCTCCCACAGAGATTCTGATGTTATTGGTCTGGGGTATGGCCAGGACATGGTGATTTTTTTAATGTTCTCCAGATGAATTTAATGTGAGCCAAGGTTGAAAACACTGGTTTAATAGCATCCAAACCACCATGGTTTCTAATGATATACATTGAGCAAATACATAAACACCTGATGGTAAGATTTTATATTTACATTTTATACAAGTCATTCAAGAGTCCCATTAGTAATCACCAATAAAAATGTTATAATTTCTCAATGGGAAAGGAAAAAGTAGGAAAATGGATTTTTGTGAGCCTGCTAAATGCCAGGCACTGTATATACCTTATCTCTTAGTCCTTACAACATCCTCAAGAAGTCATTGTTGAGATTCCCATTTTAACGAGGCTCAAAGAGGATACGGAGCCCAGAGACTCACTGTTAATAGGTTGCAGAGCGTGGATTCAAACCTAAGTCTGTCCTTCCCCAGGCTCTCAGGTGCTTTCCACCACAGTGCATGGCCCGAGCTCTTCCCTAAAGAGGCCATTGTGTTCACTGGATGTTATAGTCAAGCACCGTGCTAGCTCCTGAAGATACAGAGAGGCATAAGACAGGCATGGCCCTGGTATCAGAGAATTTGCATTCCTGCGAGAACCGGACAAGTTAGTAAGGAACCAACCTCAGTGGAAGTGTTCTGATGGAGGGATGGCACATTGTGGGAGCACATCAGAAAGAAAGCTCAATACAACTGATAAACTATTTCATTACGAATATCTTTCACTACTTGACGGAAAGAACAAACATGTCTTGTTGCGTTTCTGAGAGCCCCTAAGGTAAACAGTTAAGCCTATGATTAGATTGAGAGCAGTAATGTCAACACAAGCAAACTCTATTTGCTGTTGATCGATGGCTACTTACCAGGTGATGGGTTTTAGCTGGGACTCGTGTCAATGTGTTTGGGGGCAGTGGGAGAGGAATGAGTTTCTATTTTCTAGGTGCAGCTGGAGTAAGTCTTCCTGTTCCTCCCATTCACTCTATCCACAATATGATGTGTTGTTGAGGAGTATAGAAGTGCCGTAGGCATTGTCTTCACCCATTTTATTTCCTGTGCTCATCTCACATAAAACAATATCAAGCGAGATAGATGAAAGTAAAGGGCTTGAGTCTTGGGGCAGACCGGGAGCCTGTTCTGGATGATGTCCTAAGCAGGTGGCTGGCCTTTTTGATGAGTTACCAGGCTTAGAGAGCCTATTTACATGTGCCATGGCAGGGGGGAGCCACGGGCTTCCCATAGAAAGACACTTTGCCCTAGCCTAGCATACTAAACACTGGAGACGCTTACAGAATGAAAACGAGCTGGGAAAACAGTTCACATGGTAGCTGAAAGCAGGGAAGAGCATCTACTTCTGCAGATGGATCCTAAATTACATTTTCAGAAAGTAAACATGAGGGTCAAGGGTCATCCCACTATGGTGAGCACTGCAGAGGTAGAAATTTATGTATTATTGTATTATTCATCAAGGAGATGCTCTACCTCATCCTTTTGGTAATCGAAAATAGTAACTAGAGGGAGTTGACTGCCAAAAGAACAAGCCATTCTTTTCTCCATCTCCCACAGATATTTCAGGAGCTGGGATTTGGAATTATGAAACTGACAGAGAAAATAAACATGAAAAGATACTGAAGTTATTACCATGTAACACCAGAAAAAAGTTTTCCCATTTTCCCATACTATCCTTATATAACACACTATTTTTTTTCCCCTAGAAGTGAATTTCCCTTAGCATGAAGACTTTCCTGACCCTCTCCTGAATGTATCCTGCAGGTGTATTAGTGGTGGCAGTGATGAATTTCTGATGGTGTGAGTCAGAGTGATGGGGAAGTCTCCCAAAGAGGATTTATTTTTTAATTGGCCACACATTGAGATTGGTGGGCTCCTTTGGATCTGATCCCCATGGAAGGACACTACCCTTTGGTGACTTGTCTGCTAGGATTTTGAGTCTGAACCTCCTTGTTGGTTGGGTCCCTATTCATCAGCAGCAGGACCACAGGAGCACTGGTCATAGATTACAAGGTAAGGAGCCAGGGAAAGGATCTGGACAGAATTCAGAAGCTGCAGAGCCGGGTGGAGTCAGGGACCAGAAGGCAAGCAATCCAGAGTTGGGATTTTCCGAAAACTACTGATCTGAGCAAGACCGAATCATAGGTAGACAACCAGAATCAAGAAAGAACATGTGTACCACGTGCATCAAGGTGGAGGTAGATAGAAACCAAAAGGGCATGAATGTAAGAAGGCAGAAAGGTGAAAGTTTAAGAGTCAGGAATCGGGAAAGTCATGGGACTAAGGAGCAAAGATCCATGTTTACTGTGTCATAAGACAGATGTTTTACATGCTTTATCTCATTTAATCCTCCCAATGAGCTCTGCAGTCGTAGCTTATGAGGTAGGTAGTTGGTAAAATCCTATTTTTCAAATGAGGAAAGTCAGGCTTCTGAGAGCTTAGGTAACTTGCCGAAGATCAGAATTCTGACTCAGGAATGGCTGCGAAGCTGGTACACTTTCCATGTAGTCTTTGGAAGGAATCAAATCCAAGTTGCTAGCAGCCAGAAGGACTTTGATACCAAGGCAGTCTCTTTGCTCTGTTTCAGAGTCTGTTAATGACCCTTCCTGAAGCAGAAATCTATTTGAGGAAGGCTACTTTAGGCCTGCTGGTGATTATGTACAAATAGGAGCACTGGCTTGGTGAAAAGAGGAAGAATGTGTACATCCCAGCTCATGTGTTGGGAGAGGTATATAGAAAAAATAAGACAGGGAGATGGGGAGGGAGACAGACAAGGAATGGAGCCGTAGCTTCTGCCTGGTAGGTATTGACTCCCATCACAAGTCAACAGCTGGCAGTTTATTAACGCCGGGCGGGATTCCCAGAAACATTGGGAACTCTTGTCAGTGACTGACTGGGCTTCCTTTGAATCAGTAAAAGAACAATGAGTAAACCCTCCTTGTGTTTGCACAACTTTAATGTGATGGTTTTGCTAAATGGATAAGCACTCAATTCCTCTGTGGTATTGCTGGAGTGCGTTTATCAGATGTGTTTGATAAACAATATACGAGAGGTAGCATGTCTTCCTAAAAGTTGCTTTTTTAGGGGACCTAAGTAGTTGGCTAAAAAAATCACCATTGCCCAGCTACTCTCATCAGAAGGGACTATCAAATGATAAATTGCATCCGAGCGACTGAAAGAGAGTGTGCCTTTGGCAGAAGTTCCTGAGACAGGGTCTTTTTGGCTTTGTTTTGTATTTCCCAATATAATCCAGATGCTTGCTTGTGAATATTCTGGGTGTTGGCGCATCCCCCAGCAGAGACTGCCCAGTGCTGTCTTGTCTGGGGATGGACTTCCAGACAACCACCTTTCTCTAGCTCCATTTGGTAATAAGGAGCTGGTCATCTGTTGAAAGGTTATTCCCAGGAAAAGCATCAGTTAATCCAAAAGAGATGACATGGTTCGAGCATTGCAGACAAAGCCCTGTTATGGTGATCTATGCAGTTTCACGGAGGGATATGTAGAGGCTGAGAGGGTGCTGCAAACAGTGATTCCCAGGTCCCAGCCTTCATATGCATGTTGAAGGAAATGTAGTCTTTATGGTACTACCTGGTTTTTAATTGTTTATTTTTTTAATCAGGAATTGAGTTAATCTGTGAGAAAGATATTGATCTGGCAGCCCAGGTACAAGAGCTACTGGAGTTTCTCCATGAGAAGCAGCATGAATTGGAGCTGAACGCGGAGCAGACCCACAAGCGGCTCGAGCAGTGCCTCCAACTGCGGCACCTCCAGGCCGAGGTCAAACAGGTGAGCCTGGGCTTCCCAGCGGCTGAGCCTGGCCTGGGGCCCGCTCCTGGTATCGGATTAGGCCTGTAGAGCCACAGGTGGAACCAAGACGTAGAAAATAGGTGAGTTAAGGAATGGTTGTATTAGTTTCTGAAAGCTAGACTGCTCTCTCTTGGTCTATCTCTATTGGTCTATCTAACAAATAGACCTAATGGTACAATGGCTCAAATGACAAGTGCATTATTTCTCTTTCATAACAATATAAGGAGAGCGTTCCAGAGTTTCCCCGCATTGTCCTCAGTCCCTGAATATATTCTCTTCCTTTCTGTCCTCAATCCTGGCATGCAGTTCATGGGAAATACAAATCCTTTATCAATAAGCATCTTCAGCCTTTAAGCCAGGTAGATTAATTTGGGGCACCTGTGTGCCTAGTAAGTCCCTGACACTGTGGATGGTTGATAAGTGGTAGCACTTCCCATCATTCTTTTCAATGTGTGTGGCTCTGATAAGAAAATTTTCTTGCCATGTTAAAGTCAGTTTTAAAAAGAAAAAAGAGTTATTATCTGTATGAGCCCATATACCAGCCATTTTACGAAAGGACATACCCAGATCTCTAGGAACAGACACACAATGACCAGGGGCACATTTTTAAAATACTACTTATTTATATTATGAACAGACCAAGGGGGAATTGTTAGCGTAATGACAGGGGATTTCCTATTTAGACAAAATGAGGTTGAAGAGATACAAATATAATTATAGTTCCATTTACTGAGTGCTGTGTGCCTTTTACACCTATCTCTCGATCAATCCTCACAACCATTCTCTGGAGCAGATATTATTCCCATTTTACAGACGAGGCCACTGAAGCTTAGAGAGGTCACCAGACGCTAGTCACACTAAGGAAAGAATACACTGCCACCCTCACAGTGTTTGCTCCTTCTGCTCCACACTCTCCCAAGCAATCCCATCCCCCTGCTTCCTCTAGGCAGAGCCCCACCCAAAATATCTTAAGCAGGGAAACATTTTCTTTTTCTTTCTTTCTTTTTTTTTTTTTTTTGGTGAGGAAGAGTGGCTCTGAGCTAACATCTGTTACCAATCCTCCTTTTTTTTTTTTTTTTTTTGCTTGAGGAAGAGTGGCCCTGAGCTAACATCTGTGCCATTTTCCTGTACTTTTTATGGGATTCTGCCACAGGCTAGCTTGATGACTGGTGCTGGGTCTGTGCCTGGGCTCCAAACCTGTGAACCCCGGGCTGCTGAAGCAGAGTGCATGAAGTTAACCACTGTGCCACCATGCTGGCCCCACACATCTTCCTCTTTTAAACATTTTTTCTTATGTACAGTGATTGCTAGAGCTTTTAGATTTAAGAAACATTTTATTTAATTATTGCTTGATCCCTCATATTCAGGGTATTCCTTGCTAACGCCTATGTCTTAGTTATTCTATTGTTATTTATGATAATGGGCAAAATGATCTTCTCTGCTCCCATTCTCTTCCAATCAGTGCTCAGCCAGAGCCCAGCACACTGTGCCGAACAGCAATCTTCAGCACAGGTGGGATCACTGAGCCCCAAGCCAGGCCAGAGCAGGCACTGTCATCCAGGTGGTTTTCTGTCTATTTACTGGGATCACACCTGAATCTCAGAGAGAAATGTTATTCATGGGGACATGGTGGAAATCCTAGCCGGCCCAGAGCAGTGATGAGTGCACAAATTCTGAAACTTTTGGCAGTAATAATAGTACGTTCTTTTCATGTGAGAAGTATTATCTCATTTGTGATCTCATTTCAGGAGAACAGGCCCGTGGGGACCTGGTGTATGTTTACTTTACAAGTGAGGAAACTGAGGCACCATAGATTAGTGTTCCCAGCGCCCCTTGACTAGTTAGTTGACACTTGAGCCCAGGTCTCCTAAATCTAAGGTCCTACGATTTGCCTCTGCTGGGCCCCATTCCCACCCTGGGATTCCAGGAGAAATAGAAAGAAGCCCTCCAGCAGAACGCAGTCTGGGATATTCCTGGTGTCTGCAGTACCACGTCTGAGAAGACAGGCAGGCATGGCCTACACCTGTCAGAGAGTGGCACCTGCCTGATCAGTCAGCAGGCTCCAGCTGGTCGTGGGAGTCGTCTGCTCTTCATGCTTGGTTATTTCCGTCAATGGAAGGTGGCAGGAATGAACATCTGAACAAAGCAGATAACAGGAAAATTATTCCTATTTGACTTTGAAATGAAATATCTACTTTTGCTTTTGTTTCAGGTGTTTTATTTTATTTATTATTTGTTCCAGCATTAACAGTACAGCCAACTCCTTACTTACGTTTTTCTTGACTGATAGGAAAATGGAAGTGAATTTTCATCCTTCAAGTATACATTCTGTGTAGGATGTGGAGCTGGGATGATGATAGGTTTGTCGAATGGGAGGTGGAGCATCTGTAAATGAGTAGTCAGGCTTGACTAATGTCTGTCTCCATTCCCATTCAGTATTTCATGAGTTGGAGGACAAAAACAGAATTCTTCTGTGGGGGTGAGAAAATTCCTTCTCTGACTGTGGCGAGAATGGCACACAGTGGGATCATAGTTCAAAACAGTACTAGATTGCTTGAGTCAGACTTTAGGAAGGCCTTTGCAAAAGACAGCAGCCCTTGGAGGCGCCAGGAGACTGCTGCTCAGTGAAGCCACCGTGCCTCATTACACAGGCTTGTTTTCCTTGTCAATGTCGGGCTCTCTCTTTAGGGAGTCATCTGATCCAGTTTCAGAGGAGGCGTCTGTGTTTGATGGAAGTTGGTGGAGCGGGAAATATTGATCTGGAAGCTGTTGACACTTGGAAAGAGGGAGTTAATTTAGATGTCAGTATTGATCAGTGGGCTAAATTTAGACACTAGCTTGAGAGTGTCTCTTTTGAATATTCTCTCAAAAAAAAAAAAGACGCGGGGCTGGCCCCATGGCCAAGTGGTTGAGTTCGTGTGCTCCGCTGCAGGCTGCCCAGTGTTTCGTTGGTTCGAATCCTGGGTGTGGATATGGCACTGCTCACCGGGCCACGCCGGGGCGGCGTCCCACGTGCCGCAACTGGAAGGACCCACAACGAGGAATATACAGCTATGTACTGGGGAGCTTTGGGGGGAAAAGGAAAAAAATAAAATCTTTAAAAAAAAAAAGATGGAAAAAGGACATTTTATTTGAAATGCCATTAATGGGAACAGAAAGGGAGAGCAAAGTGTTACACAGCTCTGTCATTAGAGCTCATAGATTAAAGGTTTAGATTTGGCCTTCATAACTTTAAGTGTAGTTACACCACAATTATATTAAACTGAAGCTTTGAGGAATGACAATGCCACAGACATTAGGCTGAAAATTCTTTTCAAGTATTTAGAACAAATGAAATTGATTAATGCAACTGATTTTCTTTCTTAGGGATTACATAGGACTTTGTATCTAAGATAACAGCCCACATACCTCCAGAGAAATGTTAAATCTCGAAGGGAAGGCACACCCTTGGTTATAGCCCATAGTCCAAGACCCTAGGTCACACAGAAGCCCTTTTCTTCTAGAAAAATAGATCAGATTATCCTCCAGACCCCGCAGAATGCTCTGATTGCTTTCTAGGACAATTACTGCTCTGGTAAAGATGACCTCACATTTATTAGATAATTCAGAAAGATTTGAAAAACCTACTTAACGGGCATAAAACTAAATGAATTTCCATATGTATTCCTGCAGAGCAGTGCATTTAGCAGAACATAGGCCAAAATGGATGTATAAGATGTTGGGGCTCTAAGCTATGGGGAAAGAAATCATACTTATTTGTCTACTAAAGACATTGCCTTAAATTACCCCTGTGGACTAAATACTGGCCAAAATTGCATATGATCAAGATGGACATTCAAAACGAAGGAGAAACTTGTCCTGTCCCATATTCCTGTCGAGAATACTGTGTTCAGTTCTGTTCACAGTACATAAAAGTTAGAAAGGAGTTGGAATACATCCAAAAGAGGCAACCACAGGGACAAGTACTATCCATTTGTTTCAAAGTGGAGATAATTAGGAAGATGCATGGTCACAGTCTGTAAAACCATGAAGGATGAACACGTATACTCTCATAAATTGTGAATTTTTAGAACTAAGCAACACTGGAAACATGACAGGCTCCCAGTTACCATCTGAGGGGCTGACAATTTTTCCTGTGGCTGGAGTTTCAGAAATGACTGTGCCTTGAGATAAGTCTCTGCAATGGCAGGCCTTAGAGTCACTGGCCTTAAGTGCAACCTCATAGCTTTATTGTCAGTATGACCTAGAGAACACAGTCATATACAAGCAGCTTCCCAGCCTACATGGTACAGGGTCCAACTTGCCCAGCTTAGATGGCGTTGTCATTTGTGGATATCCACATCCAATTAACCAAATCCAGTCTTCTCCTAACTTGGGGTTATCTGAGCTTCCTTGGCTTGAGGAAGCAATTGATCTCCATTTTCAGCTTCCCCTCTCTGCTCTGTCTGAGCTGAATTTGTGGCCCAGCTCCTAAGTCCTCAAGCAGCAATATTCTTCCAGTTGCTCATTTCTACACAGCTCAGTTTCTCTGGTGTCCTATGTTATAGGGCCAGTCTCTGAATTTTGAAAGAAGTGTGGAATGTTAGGGCTCAGAGTGACCTTCAAAGGTGATCTAACCTATAGGTAACTGTTGCCTAAGACGATTGGTCAACATAAATGTTCATTTTACAGCTCATATCTTATGGTTTGCAAAATACTTTTACATTAGTTATTTCGTTTCTATCTCTACTCTGTGACTTAGGCAAGCAAAGTGTTACCATTTTATAGATAAGAAAACAGCCTCAGAGAGATTAAATGATGTTTCCAAAGTCACACAGCTCAAGATTAGTAGGACCAACTTTTTCTCATTTTATACAATATTTCTTCTACTACCTTGCACTCATTTGGATGTTCACAGAAGAGTGAATAACCAATTTTATGAACCAGGAAGATGAAAGACTACAGTAATATAAAATTATACCGGCAAGAGTTGTCATTGATCAAGGGTTGGCCTGGTGGTGTAGTGCTTAAGTTCAAGCACTCGGATTCAGCAGCCTGGGGTTCATGGGTTCAGATCCTGAGCACAGACCTACACACTGCTCATCAAGCCATGATGTGGTGGTGCCCCACATACAAAATAGAGGAAGACTGGCACAGTTGTTAGCTCAGGGACAATCTTCCTCACCAAAAAAAAGAGAGAGAGAAGAAGGAGAAGGATGAAGAGAGGAAGGAGAAGACGGAGAAGATCAAGAAAGGAGGAGAGGGAGAAGAATGGGGAGGAGGGGAAGACAAAGAGTTGTCATTGATCAGAGGACAAAAAATGATGATAACAAAACAGCTAAGTTACCCACACCACATCAGAATATTCCAATAAGCTCTACAAATACTGGAATAAAATTCATTTTTCTAAACTTTTTCTCTTCTCATTGTGAGAGGAATAAAGTAAGAATGATAGCATTACCTTCCTTTGCTCCAAAACTAAAAATCACCACCACAACCACCATCATCAGGCTTTACATTTTACAGTACATTGTGTCAACCGTGATACAGACAGGGAAGGTACTGTTATCCTAACTTTACAGATGAGAAAACTGAGGCTCCCAGGGGTTAAGTGATTTTGCCGGGCAGTAACAGAGCCAGGTGTTCTGACTTCACATTTTGTGCTCTTCTGCACTCTCCCAGCTCTGCTTCTAGGGCTGACTCAATCATAGGGATAAGTGCCACCCCTGAACCTAAGCCGTGGTTATAAACTACCATGCCTTTTTATCTTCCTAAAATCAGATCTCCCACTCTGAAGTCCTGGAATGCCTCTATAAACAGCATTTGGAAAATAAACAAGAATCTCAAGGATATGGCGTGATTTAATGAAAGATGTAGAGACTGAAGCCTATAATATTTCTAAACGGAAAAGCTGGTAAATGAGGATCCCACAACCACAGCTATAACTGATGTTTCCAATTGGCTGAAACTAGAGACGAAAATATTGCAGTAAGACTCAGGAGGCCCAGAAGGAGTCAAATTGTCCCTCGAGCATTGATTTGTGGTGCACATGGAGAAAATGTTTCTCTGACACCCTCAAATGAATCTTGAACCAAGCGAAATGCAACGAATCATGGCAGAAGGACTTACATAGTTCAAAAATATACACTGTGAGCTCCATTTTCCAAAATGATGAAGCATTTGGGCATGCGGTCCATGTATGCATGTACCCAAACTTACAGGCAGCTTTTGGAAATCATCAGCACCACTAGCCAGCCAGCCAGCCAGCCACAGTACACCAGTGGCATCAGACATTTCACACATACACTCTGAGTAGTTATTTCTGGTGACTAATTGCTTTACAGATTGGCATCTCATCCACAATCTGCCAGACTCACCATGAATTAACACCTCAATCCAAATAGCCCAGCTTCACTGGGATTTATGCCCTGATCTTATTCACGCGCAAGATGGCATCAGTCACTTTCTGCCCAAGGAGGAACTTTGAGAAATGCCTATGAGGGTTATGGAATAGGAGACCAGGCTTAATATTTTTCTAATTGTTTAGCATGAAGAACTTGAGAGGAGAAAAAAAATCCGAAAAAAATCTAAAACAGATTGGATGTCTTCTGCTTTGCCTTGAGATAACAGATGGATGGTATTTACTAATCTTGAAATTTCAGAAGACTTTTTCTTTTCTCTCCAAGCAAACTCTCAGATTGCCTAATAAAAAAAATATGTGGCAATTTTCTGGCGACCAGACACAAGGTAGATTTTCAAGGCCTAATTCTTCCAGTTTATTTGTGCTTGACTCTATTAGCTGAATAATTGCCACATCTCCATTTCACCTAGAACTGTCTAGATAGTATCAGCTGTTTCTCCTTCTAGTCTAGTACTCTCTAGCTGAGTTTCCTTTTCACCAGTACTAATTAAGGTTACCTAGAAATTTTACCCAGCCTAGCCATAGACTGTAAATAATTTAAATCAATTATAACTTACTCTCTCTTTTTCTAAAGATCCAGTGTACGGATTATTCATGCTATTTTGCTTGTTCTCTTTCTCTTTCCCTATTCCTTTGGGTTGTTTACCTATCAATGCTCAAACCTATCTACTCTTGGCTATTTTGCAAGGCATAGGAGGTTAGACCCACTGCTCAGGTGTGACTCGGGTATTCGCCATAGATGATCGTTCACTCTTTCAAAAACATTACTACATACCCATCATGTGCGAGGTACTATGCTAGGTACTTTATCAGATTAAAATATGACTGTTATATTACTCTAGTTTTCCAGAAGTTTACATTCTAAGCAGGGAAATGAAACGTAGGTTGAAAGAGCTGAACAAAGCAGTGTGTGGTGAGTGCCACAAAAGTGGTACCTACAAAATGGTATGGTTGTGCTAGGTGATGAAAAGATGATTTCTAACGGAAGTGATAAGGTATGGACGATTTCAGGAAGCTGTTGATATTTGTACTTGGCCTTAATTAAAGGAAAGGATACCAACAGATGGAATTTATTTACTTATACTATTCTGTGTTCCTGAAGGAACTTCAGAAATGTACATACAATGCAATCAGATAAAGTAATCTCTAAATTAAGTGGGTAAGGAAATGGGGCAGATGGGTGACAAGGGTAGGAAAGAATATATGAAGCTGGAAATGAGGATGGTACTTATAATTGTGCCTTATGGTACAGGGTGCCAGATTAAGATTGGGGAGATGACCATTTTCTTTCCTTAAATTATTTTATTGAGGTCACATTGGTTTATAACTGTAATTTCAGCTGTACATTATTATATATCAGTTTCTGTATAGTGCATCGTGGTCACCAACGATAGTCTAGTTTTTATCCATCACCATACATATGTGCCCCTTTAATCCTTCCGCCCACCCCCCAGCCCCTTTCCCCTCTGGTAGCCAGTAATCTGTTCTCTTTATCCATGTGTTTGTTTGTCTTCCACCTATGAGTGAAATCATACCGTGTTTGTCTTTCTCTGTCTGGCTTATTTCGCTTAACATAATACCCTCAAGGTCCGTCCATGTTGTTGCAAATGGAACGAATATGTCTTTTTTTTATGGCTGAATAGTATTCCGTTGTGTATATATACCACACCTTCTTTATCCATTCATCTGTAGCAGGGCACTTGGGTTGCTTCCACATCTTGGCTATTGTGACTAATGCTACAGTGAACATAGGGGTACATAAATCTCTTTATATTGTTGATTTCATGTACTTTGGATAGATACCCAGTAGGGGGATAGTGAATCATATGGTATTTCTATTTTTATTTTTTTGAGAAATCTCCATACTGTTTTCCATAGTGGCTGTACTAGTTTGCATTCCCACTAGCAGTGTATGAGAGTTCCCTTTTCTCCATATCCTCTCCAACATTTGTTATATTTTATCTTGTTAATTATAACCATTCTGACAAGTGTAAGGTGATATCTCATTGTAGTTTTGATTTGCATTTCCCTAATATTAGTGATGTTGAACATCTTTTCAGGTGCCTGTTGGCCATCTGTATATCTTCTTTGGAAAAGTGTCTGTTCATCTCCTTTGCCCGTTTTTTGATCAGGTTGTTTGTTTTCTTGTTGTTGAGTTGTATGAGTTATTTCTATATTTTTGCAATTAACCCCTTGTCAGAAATATGATTTGCAAATATTTTCTCCCAGTTGGTGAGTTGTCTTTTCATTTTGTTCATGGTTTCCTTTGCCTTGCACAAGCTTTTTGTCAGACATAGTTCAATTTGTTTATTTTTTCTTTTGTTTCCCTTGCCTGAGTAGACATGGTATTTGAAAAGATGCTGCGAAGACCAGTGTCAAAGAGTGTACCACCTGTATTTTCTTCTAGGGGTTTTATGGTTTCAGGTCTTACATTCAAGTCTTTAATCCATTTTGAGTTAATTTTTGTGTATGGTGCAAGATAATGGTCTGCTTTCATTCTTTTACATCTGGCTATCCAGTTTTCCCAACACCATTTATTGAAGAGACTTTCCTTTTTCCATTGCGTGGTTTTGGCTCCTTTGTGGAAGATTAGCTGTCCATAGATGTTTGGTTTTATTTTTCACTTTCAGTTCTGTTCCATTGATCTGTGTGTCTGTTTTTGTGCCAGTGCTGTGCTGTCATGGTTACTATAGCTTTGCAGTATATTTTGAAGTCAGGACTTGTGATGCTTCCAGCTGCATTCTTTTTCTCAGAATTTCTTTGGCTATTCAGGGTCTTTTGTTTTTACACATAACTTTTAGGATTCTTTCTTCTATTTCTGTGAAGAATGTCATTGAGATTCTGATTGGGATTGCATTGAATCTGTAGATTTCCTTAGGTAATATGATCATTTTAACTATGTTTATTTCCAATCCATGTGCGTGGAATGTCTTTACATTTCTTTGTAATCTTCAATTTCTTTTAATAATGTCTTAGAGTTTTCAGTGTATAAGTCTTTCACCTCCTTGGTTAAATTTCTTCCTAGATATTTTATTCTTCTTGCTGTGATTGTAGGAGGAAGATGACTATTTTAATTGTGCAGACCCTTCCCGTCCTCTGTCCAAATGTGTGTAGAAGATAGCAAGCTCTCTGATTGATGGATCCATCAGAGAAGGCAACAGCTCTAGGGAAGCTGCAAAGACCATTCACCTACCTTTTTGTCCCAATTCCCTAGGTCCTGGGATGGATCCGCAATGGGGAGTCAATGCTCAACGCCAGCCTGGTCAATGCCAGCTCTTTGTCTGAAGCAGAGCAGCTGCAGCGGGAGCACGAGCAGTTCCAACTGGCCATCGAGGTAACACCCAAATCTGGCTACACTGTCCTCCCTTCCCGTTTCTGCTCTGCACCTCAGGCAGGATGATTCCTCAAGAAGTGGGCATTCTTTTATGTCGTGAAGCCCTTACTCATTCTAGTGAAATGGTCCAGGTTGCCTCCTTATTACCGAGGAATTGATGAAGCAGCAAATACAGGGGTTCATCACCCCAAGGAGGCCTGATATTAGAAGACAAGTATTCACACTACAAACGTGGATCTTTCTTGCTCATTGGTACCTTTAACATTCAAGGCCTCAGGTACATTGAGTTTTTTATACATTATGAACTATGCAACATGTGAGAAATGAAAAGCTAAAAGGTTAGAAGTCACTTCCAATTGACAATCACTCAGAAATCAGGATAAACAAGTACAAAAGTCATTAGTAAGTTAGGATTCCATGTTTAAATATTTGGTTTATGTGTAACATTTAGATTCCATTGTCAGATTCTGCCTTTAACGTGAACAATGAGCCCTGGAGCAGATCACACTAGGTAGTTCGCTTCATGGAAAGTAGTCGTTCAATAATGCTGATGGAAGTCTTATTTAAAGAATACACTGAAACCCAAAGTTCACCAACTGAGACTTGTTTTAAAGGCTATTTTAAAATAAAACTCCACTTATGATAATCTCATATAAATTTTGACTTGCTTTAAATAATACCTTTAATTGTCCTTTCTGCTAGAGCACTCTCCTTCCCAAAGAGACTTGAGCTGATTGCTTTAGAGTGGTATGGGGAAATAGGACATGGGAACTATATTAAAAATAAAAATAAGTTCAGTACCAATGGGAAAAGAGATAAAGAGTGAAACTTCAAAAAAATTCATTACATATGGTTCAGTGTAAAAGTCAACCCATTTCTGAGTGTGTAAGAAATGCAAAAGTGTTATCGTCTACTAAAAAAAGTAATTGTTAATGAGAATTTTACGCAACAATGATAAAATTTTAACTGTCCATGCCAATAAGTCTATCTTTAATACAGTAATCCAACTGATTGTTAGACATTTTTAAACTAGTATTGATCAATTTCAGCAATTTAATTTTCCAGAAGCCGTCTGGTATGTGTAAATATAGCATTGACCTGAATGACACGTCTCTATAAGATGCCTGATATCTTCTTAGGAACCATTGCTAGTACCAGAGTATTGTGTGGGGTTGAGATTTAAAAATAAACTGTATATTCTACACACAATATGGGAAAATCATTTTCTAAGAAAAACTAACCAGAGGAGAGAACTTCTATTATCATTAGCTGTCTCTTGTGTTTTACTGGCACACCCAAATATGAGAGCATGAGGATATATTCACTGTAAAGTAAAAATCAGGACTGGGCTTACAATCAAGAATCAGGCAGACAATGGTCAAGGCCCCATAGAGAGGGAGCAAAGGAGAAAAGGAAAGTTGAGAAGTCAGTCTAAAGGCATGGCATGAAGCTGTGAGGGATGCTAGGCAGAGAGAAGATAGCTCTTTGCCATACCTCCTCCTTGTTTATCTTGAAGGTGAAAGTTTATCTGCCCTGTTGGGTAATCACATTTTCAATCCCTTAATCAAATGTTGAGCAAGTAAGACCGAGTGTCTTGAACACCTCAATGAGCTAATGGAAAATAGTGGGTAAATGCATTAGCAATGCTATTGAAATCACTAGATTCCACATGACTTGCATATTCAGTGTGTCTTAATTTGTATTAGATGCTGTTGCATCCTTACAGAATAGAGGCTCACTAAGCATCTTTGTCTCTTAATTACATGAGTGCAACTTGATAAAATATTCTTGGAATTGATGTTGAGATACAGGTCCCTAAAGAGTTTATGTCGGGGTCTCAAGAGGTCATGACAGAGCAGATGGGATTTCTGGAAGTTCTTGGGAATGGAAGGTAGGCAGGATCTACAGCATGGCTAGAATAATGAAGAGAATAGAACCAGAATTTCAACATATGCTCCTTCTCCAGGCAGCCTTGTGCTTCTCTCTAAATCTGTCAGTTTAGACCAGGTTCTGCATTGAGGGAAAATATGTCAGGGAAGATTTAAGCAGTTTGAAAGGGAACCGAACTAGTCTGGTTTGGCTTAACCATTTTGATGGTGTTACTAGAGGCCTTTACAGTGATTGCTGATGGGGAACATAATTTGACTTCGTGGGCCCTAGGAAAGAAACCTTGGTTCCAGAAGGGAAAATAAAATAGTTATAAGAAGGATGATCATATAATTTATTGTTAAAACTGAGACACTTTTAAGAGTGAAGGAGGGAATTATTAATAACTAAGCCAGAAAAATAGGCATATACTAGTACTATTATGGGCAAACCCAGATGCTTGCTCACCCTGGCTTGGATGGGTGTCCTCATCAGTTTGAAGGTTTTGATCTCCCCAAAGAAGGTCAGAATTTTTACCTGATGTAGCCTTGGTTTCAGGAAAACTTTCCCCAGAATGTTTTTATTCAGAATGGAGAGCAGTACACAACACCCAGAAGCATAGTTTTATCAATAAACCTGGATTATTATTTGTTAGTATCCATGACACTGTGGCTGATGTGTCTTCAAGAACTAGAAACATCATAGAGACCAGCTCAATTTTGAAATCCATTTTTATTTTAAATCCTCCTAAGCATAAGCAAAATGGCAGAAATAGTAGTTAAAACCGGATAGTAAATTGAGTTGATTTGGTTCAGTTTTCTTCCATGTATTGCTACTAAATAATAGCATCCTTGATAATCCACGTCTTAAAGATATAGCACTCAATAGGATTAGATAACAGAGAGTAGAGATAAATGCAAAATAATGACTCAAGCTTAGCAAAGCGAAGATTATGTCATAGGCATAAGGGTTTATCATTTTGGAAATTAAAGAGGAAAGGGGTTTCCTGCACTATTAGATGATAATAAGTTTCAGAATAAGGAAGAGATTTATTACATAGCAAACATTAGAGGAAAATTAAAGTTGCTTCTCCACTCTCAGAGAAAAAGACGTAATAACGGGTTTACGATGACAATTATATGCTAGTTTCATATATTGAGGAGAGGCCAGATAATCATAATCACTAATGTTCGTTTGGTGGATGCTTCCTCTGAATGGGAAACTGTAGATACGATCCCAAGTGCTAGAAATAAAATGATATGGTGTGACGTAGTGGAAAGGAATAAGTTTGGAAATAAGGTCAAACCTGAATCTTATTCCTGGTTTCATCACTTCCTTGGTTGTTCATTTTTGGGCAAGTCACTTAACCAGACTGAGCTTCAGTTTCTTAATCTGTGAAGTGGGAATAATAATAACCACCTTGTTGTAATGTCATGAGTACTAGGAAAAAATATGCATAAGCACAGTGCCTAGCACCTTGGTTAAATGACAGCTATTAAAGTGATTTTTTAAGAGTCCTTACCTTGAGAGTTTCACTGTCTAAGTACGGAGAATCAGCCAAGATTAGATGAGTGATATAGGAGTTCAGAAAAGGGTAGTTTTTAGTGAGTCTCAGGCTGTCTGGAAAGGCCTCTTTGAAGGAGGTCGGACTTGAGCTGAGTCTCAAAGGAAGACTGGAACATAGATGGGGAGAGTGTAAGGGGTGTTCATTAAAGGCAGGAGGAATGAAGGTAACAAAAACAAGAAAGTGCATGTGTATTCAAAGGGTTTTTGTGAGGGAGTAGTAGGTGATAATGTTATGGAAGTAATTGAACCACATTGTGAGGGGCTTTTAATGACATCCTCTAAAGTTTAGACTCAATTTCACAGCAATGGGGGAACCACTGAGGGCTTTTGAATTGAGAGAAGGGAGTGATGTTTACAGCACAAAGTTAGAGTTTTAGAGCTGGAAAGGATGTTAGAAGTCACTTAATCCAGGCACTTCCTATTACAGAGAATTAGTCTGTCAGAAATGTAAGGGATGGGTTTGATGGATTAGAAATGGAAGGCCAGAAGACTAGTTAGGTGACCACCACAGTAGTCTAGGTGTGAAGTGGTAAGGGCTAGACTGGGACTCAGGGTGAGGCACAGCAGGCAAGGATGATGATGAGATTGTAATCCAGGGTGGCAGCGAGGAGTGCACCATCAACAGAATGGTAGACTGCAGTGGGAAGACTGTCTTAGAGGGAGAAGGAGATTAGTTTTAGGTGAGAAATTTGAGGAGCTGTCTGGGTGGAAGGTGGAGGATCTGATAGGGCATTAAAGCCATTTGCATTCATTGGCAAGGGTTGCTCCCCTCTCTAGGAAGATCTTTCACTTCTTTTACTGAGAATGCATCTTTGTAAGTGACTAACATGGGGCAGACAGCTAGATCAACCGAATGAGTTCCACTGCCCTAGGTGAGAGGTGTGGCAGGCAGCTCACCCTCACATCCAAAGACAGAGATAAGGGTCAAATGTAAGACGAGTAAGACGAGAGATATCAATTGGGAGTCATTTACAAGAAAGAGATAATAGAAACCAAGAGACCTCTGCAGAAGTGAACAAAAACCAAGAATGGACCTTGGGATATTTCTACACTTAGGAGACAGGAAGAGAAAATGATACCAATAAGTCAAACAGAGAAAGGAACCAGGGATTTTTAGTGGAGCATTTCTGCCCATTAGTTTACTTTTCCTAGCTGCATTCAGCAATCAGGAACCCAAAGGCTGATGTGGTCATCGGGATTGAAGGCTGACTCAGTGGCAAAGCAAGGGAATAAAGGATTCTAGGTTCCTGGAGGAGGTCATGCTAACCTAGCTAACACTGAGTGCAGATTCAGGAGAGCAGGAAGGGAAGCCAGGAGGTGGTTGATAGACTGGGAAAAATATATAGTACTGTGTAGACTTCCATCAGGGATGAGGATGAAGGGCAAGATAGGGGTGAAAAGGTGCAAGATTGTACTCACACACAGGGAGTGCTGAGTGGATTCGCTCTTGGGAACTGTCCCAGGACTGCTGCCCAAGAAGAAGGGCAGAAAGAATTCTGGAGTAAGTTACTGGGCTTCTAGCTGCCCGTTTTCACTGCCAGCTGAGCTATGCTTTCCTAAATGTGCAAAGGCCGATGGTGCTATGCCACTGGATTGAAATGATCCCTGCAGTTGAGGTTGGGATTACATTACTTCTTTGAAGTCATATGGCTCATCCACATCAGCCCTTTGTTTTAATAAATTTTAATCCCATTTGGCTCTCTCCCTGCCACCCAGTCCTCCAGCCTGGTCTCCCCACCTCTTACAGCTAATGTGAACTCAAAGAATGCAAAACACGTTTAGCCTGAATAAGAAAATAAACTTTCTATAATATATATATTATCATAAAGGCAAACATAAATAGTGTCATCATGTGGGGATTGTGTGTTGAACAGAATTATCTTCTGTCCTGCTCTGTTCCCTTGGTGAGGTAACCAAGGGGTGGTGCTCTTCTGCTTTATTAACCTGCCAAATTTATTCTACTAGAATCCTTTTCAGCTGATTATTACTGTTTAAAATGATTGCATTGTTGGCTGAGATTTGTGTTACATGGGGATTTTTTTATGTGCTGTGTTTATTTGTTCTGTAAAATGGGACTGAACAATAACCTCCTATGAAAACTCATGATGATGAACAATTTTATGATTAGATTTAAAAAGGAAATTTAACTATTGTATGAACCAATCAGGGGGCAGATTTATACACAACTGCTGTTTCTCTACCACCGAACCTGAAAAGTCTTTAAAACTGAGCAATACAAGTAGAAGAGAAAGGAGTGGGGGCAGGGGTTAGGGACCTGAGCTATTAGTTAATGAAAATGTATGATTTTTTAAAAATATGATTTAAAAACAATGATGTGTTAATCATCGTGACAAAATGTTTGAATCAGTCATTTAAAGCTCTTTAACTTTTCTGCATCTTTCCACTCACGCCTCGCTCCACCCCCTCCCATACCACGCCTGGGTCGTTCCCACGGACCTCTCTCTCCTCCCCTTGTGCCCAGTCCCTCTTTCATGCCACTTCCTTGCAGAAGACGCACCAGAGTGCCCTGCAGGTACAGCAGAAAGCCGAGGCGCTGCTCCAGGCCGGCCACTATGATGCAGAGGCCATCCGGGAATGTGCTGAGAAGGTGGCCCTCCACTGGCAGCAGCTGATGCTGAAGATGGAAGACCGGCTAAAACTGGTCAATGCCTCTGTGGCCTTTTACAAAACTTCCGAACAGGTGCGAGAAAGGGCTATGGGATATGTGGGGCTGAGATTGTTGGAGGGTTACTTTCTGCCTCACATTGCAAATCTGTAGTATCTACCTCGTCAAGAAGCCAGTCCTCTCAGTGTTAACCTTTGAGAGTAGAAGAATGAATTATGGAAACACTATAGTTGGCTTCCTTATAAATCATTTCTATTAGAGAATCAGGCTATGTGATTTGTTTCTTATAAATTTCTCAAACTCATTGGATCTAGGTGTCAAAGTGGGAATTGGGTGGGTATATGCTGAATGCCAGATTTAAGTGGTGTATCAGTCAGCTGTTACTACAATAATGCCGTGTAACAAATCATCCCAAAACTCAGTGGTATAAGACAGTAAGCATTTCTTTTTTGCTTAAGTATCTGGAGTTCAGCTGATCTTGGCTGGGCTTCATAGAACCAGGCTCCAAGCTGCAGATTGGGTCTACATCTTTTCCCATGTCTCTCATCCTCCTTGACCAGCAGCTACATGAGGCACATTTATAGTGAAGGGCAGGAGTGCAAGAGCCCAAAATGTACTATACAAGTGCATTTCAAGGCTCTGCTTGTGTCATATGCTCTAAAATCCTTTTGGCCAAAACAAATCACCTGGCCAAGCCAACATCAGTGAGGCAGAGAAGTATATGACTCCTGTGAAGGTTGGGAGAGGAGAGTGACAATTTGCTGAACATAATCTAATCTAACACAATCAGGCACTACCCATTCCTTGAAAAACATACAGCTCTTTCACTCATGGGCCTCCCAGTCTAGTGGGGGAAACACTGCTCTCTGTCACTGGAAAACTCTGAGCCTAACCGGTAGGATGGTGCAGCTGTGGGAGAAAAGGCAGGAGATGCATACAACAGGGCCATAAAGATGCAGACCCATTGCTATTACATCTGCACGGCACTATGCACAAGGGCTAAGAGGATTTCTAAATGATCTGGATACTGTTAGGAGATTCTTTTCATGAAATAGAGGTTTAAAACAGGAGTAATTTTTTCAGTGTAAAATACTTTCCTCATTTGAATAGTTTCCTGGTAGAAATAGATCAGAGAAACAGTCTCCTCTGGGTGACTTATAGGGAGCGTGGGAAAGTCCATCTCAGGGCAAATGTAACATGCCTGTCAGAGGGCCCTGCAGCCAGTGTTCCAATCTCCACAGCTTCTCCCAGTCCTCTCTTCTGTTGTTTTAGAGAGACAATGCCTTTGATGGCCATGGAAGTGGGAGCAGCAGACTAAGATGGTAGAGCGCTTCCCCAGTTGATCGGTAAATTCATCACAATCCCAATCAAATCTCAGCAAGCTGTTTTGTGGGAATTTATACATTGATTCTAAGATTTATATGGAAATGCAAAGAACCTAGAATAGCCAAAACAATCTTGAAAAGGAAGAACAAAGTTGGAGGAGTTACACTGCCTGATTTTGAGACTTACTCTAAGGCTGCAATGATCAAGACAGAATAGTATTTGTGTCAGGATAGACACAATGGAACAGATTAGAGGTTTCAGAAGTAGACCCACATATATATATATATGAGTCAGTTGATTTTTGACAAAGCAATTCAATAAGTAAAGGAAATTTTTTCAAAGATGATGCTGGACAACTGAATAGCCATATGAAAAAAAAAAGGCTTAATCCCTGTCTAATATCATATACAAATTTTAATTTGAAATGGATCAAGATGCTGAAAGGGACAGAGTACTAGATAAAGAGTCAGAAAATTGGACCCTGAACTGACCTTGCCAAAGGTCACTTTATCTCTCTAGATTTCTGTTTCTTTGCCTGTTGAAGGATTTATGCTTGATAATCTTTTCATTTCTTCTAGCTCCCTGATTGATTGGTTTAAAGTCCAATACTATCATAGGACAGGTGTCAAGTACTCTTTTTCTTACAGTTTTTGCATGTGTGTAATCTGTTTTTTCTCAAGATGTGAGTCCTCTGCATGCTTTCATGCCTTGCATAGAGGTGTGTGGTGCTAGAGAAGTCAGCTAGAGTCCAGGGACAGGATGACGTGGGAAGCATATTGGCTATGGGGGTATTCTGCCTAGGACATCTTTCAGCTCAGTTCTTAACTCAGTAAGTGCCCTATCTAGTGCCACACCCTTCATCAGAAAGGATGACTTTCGCAGACAGAGGAGGCCACAGATAGGTATAGTTGCTCCCCCCTGCTGCCATACCCAAGCAAGACATCAAAGCCTGTTAAAGGAAAGTATAGGAATATGAGTGTCTGTGTTCTGCATCCTTTCCTAGGCCCTGACACTAGGCTGCCCTGGGTCTCCTACTGTTGCAACCCGACCTAATTTTCCCTCCAAGACCTATTTGAAATGCCTTTGGCTCTCTTGTGAGTTCATTTGTAAGGTCACTTAGAGCATAGCCTTTCAGCATTTTTAGAACTGAAAAGCTTCTTAACTATCTTTTAGGTTAACACAAATTTGTTGTCCCTCTGAAGGAAATGTACGTTTTCCACTAGAAGGCCTGGAGATGGCATTGCCTTGTGGTAGTACCTTGAGATGTTGTAGCTGGGATATTTTTCCCTAGAGAGGGGAAAGACAGCATTCATTTATGGCCCATAGGTCACACAACATAGGCGACTTCCTCTTTTCCCTCTGCTTAAGGCTGCTTCCTGTAGAGCGAGTACAGGTGGTTGGGCAACCCTGATATCTTCTCCAAACTTCATTTTCCTGTTGTACCTAATTCACATTATTGTAAGGTTATAACAATATAATATATAAAAACACTTTGAAACCCCTAAAATTACTAGTTTCTCTTCTTTTCTTACTCTACTTGTTATCCCTAGGTGATATCATCAACCCCCATAGCTGCAGCCTTCAGCCATTGACTGTCAGAAGATGGTTCCAAAGTCCACATCTCAGTCATAATCTGTTTCCCAAGCCCCAGATGCTGGATTCTCTCTGCCTCCTGGACTTCTCTGAGATGTCCCGGGGCACTGCATACCCTAAATCTACAAAATGAACTTCGAATGAAAAATGACACCTGTGCAGAGTTCTCTTGGCTGAAGGTCCTCATAGAAAACTTCCTGACCTGTTCATTTACTGAGTCTTTTCTTCCACGATTCATTAGGTTTGTAGTGTCCTGGAGAGCTTAGAGCAAGAGTACCGGAGAGATGAGGACTGGTGTGGTGGACGAGATAAACTGGGGCCAGCGGCAGAGATCGACCATGTCATTCCGCTCATCAGTAAACACTTGGAACAAAAAGAGGCCTTTCTTAAGGTCAGAGCACATTGTCAGCCAAGGTCTGGGACTTTAGCCTTGTTCTTTCATCTGCCTTCTGCCTCCCTCCCTCCTCTCTCCTTCTCCTCCTCCTCTTCTTCTTCTTCTTCTTCTCTCTCTCTCTCTCTCTCTCTCTCTCACACACACACACACACACACACACACACATGCACTGTGCTTCATATGGGCTTCCCATACCCCTATTTTTCCTAGCTTCTTATCTAAAGGGAGACATTTGTAGAGAAAGTATTGGCTGGTTAATCTGAAAGGTTGAAAGGTTACACTTCAAACATCATTTCTCTCAGCACTTTTTGTATAATTAGGCAATTAGGATACACCGTTACTACTGATGCCATGTTCAAAGACTCTGATATCCCATTGACGTTAATTGAGAAAAATACATACTTTCACTGTTATGTTTGGTTTATAAAAATATGTTTTAATTTAAATATGTAAGCCTAGATATAAAACATATTAGAATAAATCTTTTATAAATGGATGACGCAAAATTTAGGGCAAGAATTAAAGAAATAAATTGACGCTTTATTTATCCATCTAACAATTATCAATTGCTAATAAATGTAACACTGTTTACTCTGCTGAATGAAGAGAGAAACACCTTATTTTGTTTGTTTTGTTTTTAATGAAGCCCTGGCTTCCCAAGGAGGAAGCACGGTCCTGCTGGGAACAGGCTCTCAGCTGGTGTGGGAAGTCCCCCTCAGCCTCTTTCCTCCAGCCTTTGATCTCCTCTGACAGCATCCTCTGTGTTAAAACTTATCTGAAGGCTCCATTTACTCTCAAATTCCTTGCCTTCATGTTCTGCTTCGTCTCAGGCTGCTGAAAGTACAAAAGAGAATTGTTATACCTTGACATGTTGCCACTGACTTTTCACAATTCCGTAATTAACCACCTCTCTTTTGTGAGGGATTTTCTCTACTTGACCACCTCTTTGAGTTTCCTTCTCATTCTTTTCTAAAGATGCCTCCCTTTGCCCTCCTCCCTTCTATCTGGTATCTGCACCTGCCTTTGATCAGAACCCTCAGCTCCTGCTAATCAGATTAAAGAGAAATTCTTCTCTACAGGGCTTAAGATGATTTTTAAAATCTTCCCTATTACAAAACAAAGTTTTAACTGAACAATTTAAGTAGAGCATATCAAAGATTTTAAATAGAGGTATAAAGATATTTCTTCATAAAATTAAATGTTTCCTTTGAAGAAGGAAAAAAGAAAATGTTCTGGTCTGATGTTGTTCATGTGTGCCTAGAACCATAGTTGAGAAAGCCCCTATTGTAGTGGGAACTGTGTGCTCAGTGGACGAAGCATCGGGCTCTTCATCTGTATGCAATCTTAGTTGTTCTATTTGGATCCTTAGCTTGGGACCACCATCCAGCTGTTGAATTCAGGGGCCTCAGAGTGGATGGGCTCACCATCCGTCTTGTACCAGAGCTCCCAGAAGCCATTGTTGCTAATGCAACATTTCAAATAATTTTTTACTGTATAATTTGTAGAGTCGGATGCTAAGTGTAAAAAGGTTTTAAAATATGACAGTTTTGTCTAGCGATAATTTAATTCTGAAAACTGTGGATTACAAATTAGTGGACTAGCATGTATTGCTTCTACAATCAGGAAAAAAAAACACCCCTGCTTTTTAAAAAGATTCAGAAAACCTGTGGTCTTGAGAGAAACTGGTAATACTGTGTCAGTAGATCTAGATTCTAACCTTGCCTTGCTTCCTGATTCCTGCCCTTTCTGGGCCTCGGTCTCCTCCATGGGTTCAGCAGCATGGGACAGACCTGTCCTCTCTGTCACCCTCTGCTATTGTGAGTCTTAAAGGAGGTAGTATAATGGCTCTAATTTTTTTTTATAGATCGATATTTCTGAGCAATAGGATATTTATTAGTGTTATCGAGATGGGGATGGATTTGATGGCTAAATAAGTTTTTAAAATGTGGATAACTTCCATTTATATTTGGAACGGTTAATAGATTTACTTACTAAAGTTGCTTTCTTAAGTCTAAATTAGACTAACGTCAAAGTGGCTTACACCAGTGGGCATGTAAGACGCACGCTGGTGGCAGAGAAAAACCAGCCTGAGAGTGAACGTTAGTAATACCAAATCAACAGAGAGTCGTCAAGGGATGGTTGGTTTCTGGTTTTTATCTGTGATGGAAAGGGGAGAGGCACGAGGAGTAATTCTTTACTCAGTAAAAGGGCGAGCCTCCTGCATTGGAATTGGAGTGTCCATTAGCCAGAAGTGGCCTCCAGGGCTCAGCTCACCCAGAGCTCAGGAAGCCTCATTACCCAGCACCCCTTCTCTGGTACCTTGGATCCCCTGCACCTGCTGGACCAGTACTTTCGTGTGGGGGTGTTTCACACCTCTGTCTCCCTCAGGCCTGCACTCTGGCGCGGCGGAACGCGGAGGTGTTTCTCAAGTACATCCACAGGAACAACGTCAGCATGCCCAGTGCGGCCAGCCACACCCGAGGACCTGAGCAGCAAGTGAAAGGTCAGTGCGAGACCTGCCGGCCACCACCTGCTTCAGCAGCACTGACCAGAGGCTGTGTGTCTGGTCTTCAAGCAATCTCAGATTTCCTGTGTCTTCTCCTTGGATAAGAAAAAGTTTGATGTGGGATGGAATGGGCAATGGTGACGCGTGATTTTTTAACCTGCATCAAGATCTGCAATGGAAAAATGAGAATAAAATTTCCCCAAACTTTCTCATTTATCTTGGAGTCTAGGGCAGCACTGTCTAATAGAATCTTCTAAAGTAACAGAAATGGTCTAGATCTACACTGTGCAGTATAGTAGCCACTAGTCACATGTGGCTCTTGAGCACTTGTAATGTGGCTAGTGAAACTGAGAAACTAAATTTTTACTTCTATTTATATTACTTAAATTGAATGTAAGTAGCCAAATGTGGCTAACATATTGAAACTGCACAAGACTAGGGTATCTTACAGCCTGGGAATGAGACATGGACTGAGAACCATGAAACCACGTTCTAATCCTGGCTTTATTACTTATTGCTTAATACTTTGGCTTTCTTACTTAAAAGTGAAGGAGGGCATCTAATCTCTTGCTACTCAAAATGTGGTCCCCGGATCAGCAGCACTGACGTCTCTTGGGAGCTTGTAAGAAACACAGACTCTCAGGCCCCACCTTAACCTACTGAGTCAGAACCTGCATTTTGGTGAGAGCTCCCCCCATCCCACCCCAACCAGGTGATTTGTGTGTACGTAAAATTTAGATAAGTAGACTGGTCTAGATAATCTTTAATATCTCTCTGAATTCTATAAGACTTTAATTAGACTTAATTGTATGAAAAAATCAGTAACCTTTAGAAATTGCTTGTTAGGGACTGGCCTGGTGGCACAGCAGTTAAGTTCATGTGCTCCGCTTTGGCAGCCTGAGGTTCACCGGTTCGGATCCCGGCATGGACCTATGCACCGCTTATCAAGCCATGCTTTGGCAGGCGTCCCACATATAAAGTAAAGGAATACTGGCACAGATGTTAGCTCAAGGCTAATCTTCCTCAGCAAAAAGAGGAGGATTGGCAGTGGATGTAAGCTCTGGGCTGATCTTCCTCAAAAAAAAAAAAATTCCTTATTAGCTGACCACATGAAGCTTAATTTATTATCAGTGGAACCACTTACTCTGGACCATACAGAAATTAGCCTTTGAGTGGCTGAAGAATTTAACAAATGTCATCTTGACACAGCAGAGAAATACAACCCTGGAGACGGAGGCTAGGGACAGAACCAAAACTGACTTGGCGTGAGGGGTGGAAACAGGCTTGGGGAGCTACGGAGTGGACACTGGGAGGCGCTGATCGGCTTTAGGAAAAGCCCCCTTCCTGCTCAGAGAGCTCATGAGGTGGGGAGATCAGAGGCCACTGGGAAGAATGAAGCTTAGGAATCAAAGTTCCCTACAGAGAAGAGAGAAGTCGGCTTCCCTTTTTAAACGTGCTACCCTATTTGTGATCGAGGGACCCTGTGGGTAGCTGGTATTCTGTCTCCCTCACATTCTTGCATGTTTCAAAGCATATGTTCTGACTTCCGAATGCAGGCAGGTGGCAGCTGCCTGCTGAGAGAGCGCACGCCCCACCTACACCTCAGTGCTAGGAGTGCCAGGAACCCAGAGAGAGCAGGATAATGAGGGGGAGGGCAGTTGGTTGCCCACAGGAAAGCTTTCAAGAAGGGGGAAAAATGCAACCTGAAGTTCTCTAGGATTTTTGCCTGATCTGGGTTGATTCTCTCAGCCACCGTAGAAGGAGCTGCAATGAGCAACGGTCTGACTAGGGGAGAGAGAGACTAAAGGAAACCCACATTCTCATTCGTCTTTGTTCAATTGAAGCTTCCACCTGAGCAGGGACCTACACTCTCTCCTATATCCATTTCCTTTCCACCTGCCTGGACCCAAAGCCAGTGCCACTTATTTTAAGTTTTTATTGCAGGCACAATTATTGCTGCATAACAACCAAAAAACCCAGTGGCGTACAATTGTAAGCATTTATTGTTCAAGAGACTGTGGGTTGGCTGGGGATCAGCTCTCTTGGCTGGGCTCAGCAGTGCCGTTCTGCTTCAGGCTGTGAGTCTGGTTGGCTTGGCTCCTTCACTGCAGGCTGGGTTCTTGTCTGCTCCGTGTGTATTAATTCTGGGACCTCGGTTGAAGGGACAGCGGTTACCCAGGAGAACTTCTTATAGTGGTGATGGCAAGGTTGAGTGCACAAGCACGTTTCAAGCTCCTGCTTGTGTCATATCTGTTAACAACCTGTTTGCTAAAGCAAGTCACGTGGCCAAGCCCTAGGTCAGGGTTGAGGAAGAACACTTTGTCTCTTTGAGGAGAAATTAAAAGGCTACAAGATAAAGGCATAGATATCATAAAAGTGAATAATTGGGACCCTTAAAAGCTCTCAGCCTCAGGGAGGAGAGACAGATTCTGTCCTTAGAGAGCCGAACTTCTAGGGGCATTAAAAGTACACAAAATCAGCAAAACCTTCTAAGTACAAGCAGTGCAATTTGGGTTGTACCCTTTTTGTAAAGCACAGTAACTTGTGCTTTACAGCCCCTGTATCTCAGGAGACCAGATGGCTAAGGACTCAGACTTTGAAGTCAAAGATCTCCACCATTTCCTGTCTGAATGTCGCTGGGCAAGTTACCTATCATCTCTCAGCCTCGGTTTCTTCATCTGTAAAATGGAGATAATAATGGTGCATGCCTCATGGGGTATTGTGAAAATACCAGCCTGCCATATAGTGAGTGCTTAATAAATATTAATTTTTTATATCACTATTTTGTATTTTATTAGTAACATAGCAGAAGGTAGGAGGTAGATATAATACAAAAGGAATGTGATTGCTTCAAGCATAGAACATACTATTAAAACACTTAGGAAATCTATCCATGTAGCCAGCTGCTGCTGGAACAGCAGGAGAAGGAGGGAGGGACATGACATGGACCAACACCTGCCACGGCCCACTGTGGTGCTGCGTGCCTCCTGCGTATCCTCGCACTTACCATCATTAGAAGTAATGCCAGAACAACTTTCAGCTTTTCTTATGATCAGATCCAAACAACCTGGAAGTTTGGGCCTAGAGACAGGATTCCAACACAGCGTCCCTAGGCCCACGATTTAGAAGTTTTAAAATTGAGGGTCGGCTTTGAAGGTGCTGTGCACAGCCTCTTGTACGGGGCAGAGAGCGTGGCACGTGACGCAGGGTATCCATGCAATTACACCAGTCCTCACGCCGCTGTTCCTCTCCTGGGACTCCTCAGGGATGGCCGGGATTCCCGTCAAGTCCGTTCACTCTCCCACTGAGTTATTTATTTTAGGGACTGACACTTCCTAAGGTCTCTCACCGTCAGGGACTAAGAAAATCAGGATCGCTTTTAAGTCCCCCTGGGAGCATACTCTTCCTCCCTTAATTCATGGAGCCTCATCAACAGGCTGTCACCCCAGGCTCCCCAATCTTGCTCCCCTCTTGGAAATTCTCTCTGGACCAAGTTTTTGCTCCCTTGCCTCTGATGCCTGGATTAGTCCTATGGGGAGGCTGGAAGGTCATGCTTATCTGGCACCTGGGATGCTGGGCGGAAGCGGCTGGTCACATTTGTTCAGGGCCTTCCATTGACCAGCACTCGTCTCCTCTGCCCTGCAGCCATCTTAAGTGAGCTCTTACAGAGGGAGAATCGCGTCCTGCACTTCTGGACCTTGAAGAAGCGGCGGTTAGACCAGTGCCAGCAATACGTGGTGTTTGAGCGGAGCGCTAAGCAGGTGTGTTCAGAGCTTTCCTGGCTTTGCCTTGGTTCTGGGGACTACACAGGAGCCCAGATGACTAGGACTTTCAAGCATCCAGAAGAGGGTCATAGCAGCAGACAGATCAGAGATGGGAGGTGGGATGAAGAGAGAAAGGAGAACAGGCTGTCACTTGCCAGACCTTCAGCCTTTACCAAGCTCTCTGTTCAGAGTTTGGTACCAGGAGTTGGGAGGAGATGCTGGGTGCAGATTGCCCCTATATCATGGATGATACTGGGCCTGGGATGGGAGAGTCCCCAGTCTAATGGACAAGACACTCTCTTTGCTGGTGGGATGTTCCAAGTCTAACGGGGGAGGGCTCATTCATAAAATCAACTTCCAAGTACATACTGATCGAATTGTGCCAGCATTTCCTGGGTCCATCACACTGTCCCAAACCACAAACCTTCATTGTAGCGTGGCATGTCTTCCTACTGACATCTGGCTTTTGGAGCACTGGATGGGTTCTTTCCTCCCACAGGCACTGGACTGGATCCAAGAAACAGGTGAATATTACCTCTCAACACATACCTCCACCGGAGAGACCACAGAGGAGACTCAGGAACTGCTGAAAGAATATGGGGAATTCAGGGTGCCTGCCAAGGTAGGAAGCATCCTGGAGCCCTCCCTAAATCCACGCAGCACTCCCCACTCTGGCCAGGTTCACACTGCAGAAGGGAGAGCAGCGTCTGTTCGCAGAAATGCTTGACCACAGTGGCAAGGGGGAAGCACAGGTAGGATGGTTTCCTTTGAAACCTGAATACCCAAGGAATTACAGGTGCTGGGTAGACCATCTGTATACAGGAAGTTGGCTCCTATACACTGGGCTTCCAAATACTGTCTTCATGCTCCACGTTCTGGAATCTGCTGTATTCTTCCAAGCCAAATAAACGTATTCATGTGAAATACACATGGCATATGTGAACATCTGCACCTAGCCACATATTCTTGAAATTTGAATGGCTTGGGAGCCCACCTCATGGGAAGGCCAATGGCTGTGGGTGGGTTCAAGAAGCAGGTGAGTTTATTTCCTGAGCTGACTGCTTCCATCTGGCCTCAGACCCACAAATGAGCCAGGCTAGGGTCTCTGGGGAGCAAAACGTGCACTGTTGCACATACCACACACCCTCACACCCCTGTTTACACTGTGACAGAGAGTGCTATAAGAGGAGGAAATCTCATTTTCATCTGTTTTCACAGCCAGGATTTGATTTGAGGACCCTTGGGTTTGAATGAAAGTCCAGTCTGTCTCAGCTCCCTCTTTGTAGCGTCCTTGTCCCTCACACTGGGCTTCCTGCCCTGGCGGAGCCTGTCTTGGCATCACTTCCATACATAGCAGATGCTCTTCCCAGGGTGAGAGCTGCTTTGTAGGAGTCAAGGGAGGAACATGTTAATGCCCATCCTACCCAGAGATCCCTCTGGCACTGCAGCAAATGTTCCTCTAGTTTGCTGTGACAAAATTAGGCTCTTAGCCTCATTCCGGAGCTGATATTTCAGACGTGGTTATCTACTTTATGATTCCTACGCTGTGAACTCTTGATAGTGGGGAGGTCTCCTCTGCATCCTTGGAGCTTTTGGGTGTGAGAATCTGTGAGTTCAGATAAGAGAGTCATTTCAATACCAGCTAGAGCAAACAGCACTAGGGAGGTGGCAGAGGCACAGAACCCTTTTCAAATCCAAATGAAAATGGCTTTGAATTACCCACTTTATGTCTATCTGGCCCTCTCCAAATAGTGTCAATAATGAACCATTAACAGGCTGAGGAGTATCAGATCCCCTGGTGTTCCTATCCACAGAGGATGGATCATAGCAGATACCCAGAACCTCTGAGGATCATACTCTGTCCATAACTAAAGTGAAAATGTGGAGAACTATGTAGTCAATTTAATCCAACCTTCCTTTACCATCTTCCTCCTGTCTTCTTCCTTTTCTCCACTCACATTATTACCACCCTGAGCTGTAGTAGCTTCCTAATTGGGTTCCATGCTTTTGGTCTTTCCTTCCCTTCAGTCTGTCTTGCTCTTCACTACCATTCTTTTTTTTTTTTTTTTTTCCAATTATTTTTTTGAGATCGTAACAGTTTATAACATTGTGTAATTTTGAGTGTACGTTCTTATTTATCAGTTTCTGTATAGACTGCATCGTGCTCACCACTAGTAGTCTAATTTTTATCCATCACCTTACATATGTGCCCCTGTACCCCTTCCACCCACCTCCAGCCCCCTTCCCCTCTGGTAACCATTAATCTGTTCTCTTTATCCATGTATTTGTTTATCTTCCACATCTGAGTGAAATCATGCAATATTTGTCTTTGTCTGTCTGGCTTATTATATAATACCCTCAATGTCCATCCATGTTGTTACAAATGGGACAACTTTGTCTTTTTTATGGCTGAGTAGTATTCCATTGTGTGTGTGTGTGTGTGTGTGTGTGTGTGTGTATGTGTGTACCACATCTTCTCTATCCATTCATCCATAACAGGGCACTTGGGTTGCTTCCACGTCCTGGCTATTGTGAATAATGCTGTAATGAACATAGGGATGCATAAATCTCTTTGTATTGTTGATTTCATGCTCTTTGGATAGATACCCAGTAGTGGGATAGTGAATCATATGGTGTTTCTATTTTTATTTTTTTGAGAAATCTCCATACTGTTTTCCATAGTGGCTGTACTAGTTTGCATTCCCACCAGCAATGTATGAGAGTTCCCTTTTCTCCATATCCTCCCCAACATTTGTTATATTTTATCTTGTTAATTATAACCATTCTGACAGGTGTAAGGTGATATCTCATTGTAGTTTTGATTTGCATTTCCCTAATATTAGTGATGTTGAACATCTTTTCATGTGCCTGTTGGCCGTCTGTCTATCTTCTTTGGAAAAATGTCTGTTCATCTCCTCTGCCCATGTTTTGATCAGGTTGTTTGTTTTTTTCTTGTTGAGTTGTATGAGTTCTTTATATATTTTGGAAGTTAACCCCTTGTGGGATGTATGTTTTTCAATTACTTCCTCCCAGTTGGTGAGTTGTCTTTTCATTTTGTTCATGGTTTCCTTTGCCTTGCACAAGCTTTTTAGTCTGATGTAGTCACATTTGTTTATTTTTTCTTTTGTTTCCCTTGCCTGAGTAGACATGGCATTTGAAAAGATACTGCTAAAACCAATGTCAGAGAGCATACTGCCTATATTTTCTTCCAGGAGTTTATGGTTTCCAGTCTTACATTCAAGTCTTTAATCCATTTTGAGTTAATTTTTATGTATGGTGCAAGATAATGGTCTGCTTTCGTTCTTTTGCATGTGGCTGTCCAGCGTTCCCAACACCATTTATTGAAGAGACTTTCCTTTCTCCTTTGTCTGTTCTTGAGTTGCCATTCATTTTTAAAACACCGCTTTGGTCGTATTACCACCTAGCTCAAAAACCTCAGTGCTTCTCCTGTGCCTCCAGGCTAATGCTCAACAGCTTCTACAGTGGCACCACCTTACCTCCCAGCTTTATCTTCAGTCATTCATTTATGCACATTTTATGCCCCAGCTAAATGGATGTATTTTCTTACCCTCTGAGAGATACATCATATACTTCCTTGTCTCTATACCTTTTCTATACCATTTGTCTGCCTAGAATATTCTTCCCTTCCCTCTAATCTGTACTTTTTAAAAGGAGCCCACCTCTCCACCTCAGTGCCGCCTCCTCTGTGACCCTGCCTGCATGCCAGAATCTGGTCTGGCCCATCCCTGCACTGCAGCCCTGTTGTCTCTAGGACCCTAAAGGCACTGGATGTGCATCATCCTGCTCTCCAGTGATCTGTGTACACTGTTGTCTCCTGTATGAGCCAGCAAGATCCCAAAGGGCACACTTTATTCTCTTACCTGACTGTTTCGTATGCATTGAAGGGAGGCCACAAACATTTGTGAACATAAGAAAAAAAAGAAATTTGGATAGATTTGAACAACCCCCCCCAAAATCTATATTTAATATAATTATTTTACTTTGGCTCTGTCTGTTCTCTCTCCCTCTTAACTGTTTCTGTTAATGGGGTTTCACTCTCCCATCTATCAGGTTCTGAGTCTCAGAGCTATTTGTTATTAGAATATCCACAGGGTAACAAATCCAGCTGAGGAGCTTCTGATGAAAGGCAACAGCCTCCCGCTCCACCCCACTCCCCCTTCGCAGAGGCGTCCTTTAACCAGCCATCTTTGGTTTTAATCTTTATAACCAATAAAATGAATTTGAAATGGAAATCAAATTGACCTGAAACCACAAGGGAGTAAATATAGTGGACCTCATGATTGAACCAGGCCATAGAGTATACTGAATTATTATACTCTGCTCCAAAGAAACACATCAAGGAGAAGAAACACAGAATATCAAAAGGTGCTTTCTATATAGCAATTCACAAATGTAAGTATAAAAATAAGATAAAGAGAATTTGGGTAAGGATAAGAGGAAAACAAAATCTTCTTCTTGTGATAGGCTGTAGAGAATCCAGTTAGTACAATACAAATGATATTTTCCTATTGTAGGTTTCAAAATTTATAACGGGTCAAGGTGCATGGTGATAGGAAAGCTTAATAATCTTGACTTCTAGAAGAACTCCATTTCTTCTAAAAGCAAAACCTTAAAAAATTCTGTTTTTCATTTTTTAGAATTCAGTGGTTTTTAGTATATTCACAAGATTGTGCAACTATTGCCACTATCTAGTTCCAGACCATTTTTATCACCCCAAAAACAAACTCCGTACTCATTAGCAGCCGCTCCCCATTCCCACTCCCCTCAGCCCCTGGCAACCACTGATCTTTCTGTCTCTGTGGATTTGCCTGCTCTGGACATTTCATATAAATGGAATCATGGAGTCATATAATATGTGGTCTTTTGTGTCTGGCTTCTTCCACTTAGCATAATGTTTTCAAGATTCATCCATGTTGTAACATGTATCAGTACTTCATTTCTTTTCATGACTGAATACTATTCCATTCTATGGATATACCACATTTTATTTATCCATTCATCAGTTGGTGGACATTTGAGTTGTTTCCAATTTTTAGCTACTGTGAATAATGTTGCTGTGAACCTTTGTGTACGTTTTTTGGTGTGAATCTGTGTTTTCAATTCTCTTACGTATATCCCTGGGAATGGAATGGCTGGGTCAAATAGTGACTCTTCGTTTAACTTTTTGGGCAACTGCCAAATGGTTTTCCAAAGTGGCTGTACCATTTTACATTCCCACCAACAATGTATAAGAGTTTTGACTTCTCTACATCTCTCCAAGACTTGTTATCGTCTCTTTTTGCTATGGCCATTCTGGAAGGTGTGAAGTGGTATCTCATTGTGGTTTCAGTTTGCATTTCCCAATGACTAATTATATTGAGAATACACTTTTTTAAACTGTTAATTTTATCTCTGAAAGTGAAAGAAGCTATGAGATAAACTGGACTTAATTCTTCTTAACAAAAGAGAATTAAGTGATAATGCAAGGGACTGGAGCCTTAGCTGAACTAAATTATGTCTTGTGCAGAAAGAGAACACTGGGCTTGTCAGATAGGCACTTTAGACCAAGAAAAGTAGAATCTCAACAGTTGAGATAAAAGTTGGGCGTAATTCTGTTTCTGAGACTCTTAAGAGGAATATAGCTCACGTGAGATGGAAATTCTTGAAAAGTTTAGTTTTCCGCCTACAATGACAAACTCTCGCCTGTGACATGAATATGGAGATATATCTCGAGAGGATCATTTACCCACACAGGGACCCTAATAAGTTTGTATCTACGAAGAATGTATCGATAAATACAAAGAATATCAGCAATGAAAGGCAAATTAGAAGGTTATAATGAGATTATAAGAATAATGTCAAGAAAGCTAAATCTTAAAGACTTGTGAAATGTGCTAAAGACACCAAAAGTGCTTTTTAAAAACTATATTTAGAGGAAGGCTCATTGATTAGGGGAAGATGGTATGATATTAACTGATGAAAGGAAAGAAGGAAGAGAAAGAAAGAAAAAAAGAACTGAACCCTTCTTTTTTACCTCTGTCTTTTCCAGCAGATAACATAGAATTCAAAAAGGAAAGGGCAAAACATACATTAGGGGACGCATGAAGCCCAAGATGAGTGAGCTGTCAGTTCCAAATTTCCACGCCCAGATGAATTCTGTTCCCCAAAGGCTCCCTTTTGTCCACAGGATCATGTCCGTACTTCTGAACCTAACATTCAAGACCCTCTACAGTCTGACCCCCACTTTATCAGTCCATATAAGTTACTCTGTTTTGGTAGTAAGATTTGAGTTTCAAACTGGCTCAAGTTATAAAGAGGAGAAGATATTGTATGGCTATAGGTGGAAGTAAAGAAGATAGAGGCTATATGGCTGGACCTCCCAGGAGCCCAGGAAAAGCCAAATGACTCAGCCTTATTGGAAAAACAAGAAATGTGGCATCATGTCAGCTCTAGAGATGAAAATTGGGATGTCACCTGAGACCAAGGGCAGTTCCAGCAGCCACATTATCTAATCATCTCATCGCGGGGGATCAGGGATACATTACCTCCATTCAGCTTCCCCTCTCTTCTCCCTGCTGTCTGTGTTTCCACGTCTGCTCTGCACCCAACAGCCCAGGTCCTTGTCTCTGCACTTCAAATCCCCAGAAAAACCATCTCCATCAGTTTAGCAGATTGCCACTGTCCCTCTTTCGACACAGCTTTTAGGCCAGGACACCTCAGAAATCACTGGCTGCATATTGATGGGCTGCCCTTGTGGGACAAGTTTTTACCTCTGATCTCATCAGCTGTGGCCAGGCATGTGACAGGTTGCATGGTGCTGCCATAGTCCCTTTGTATAAGAAAGCATTTCAGACTGCTCTCAGCAGGGGCCATGGACATGGTTGGTATCCAGTTTATGAGCCAAACTTATCATCTAATTCTTTTCAATATAAACCCTCAACTCTTTCTTGTCTGGCTTTACTTACCTCCAAACACAAGATTTACTCACTCACTCATTTATTCAACATTTATAGTATGCTTACCATTTTCTAGACATTGGCGATACAAATGAATAGATATAACATGTTTCTTAGGAGTTCATGGTCTAATGAAGGAGACACGTAAATAAATCACTGTGATACATGCTGAAGTAGTGGCATTTCTTCTGTTTTCAGGGGAAAAAAACCCACCTCTAAATAAGATAGAAGTCCTTAGGACACCAGGTATCTTTTCTCAACCCATTCCCAGTTGCCTTTTCGTGGCTAAGGAGATGTTTCTCCTGTCCACACCTCACACCCACCTTCCTTCCTTCACATCAAAGCTGGTCTGGGCCCATGTCTCCCAGCCCTGGATACCAGCCCACTGCCCTACAGTAGGAGAGGCTCAGGAGTGGTGAGTTGCTGGAGGCTGGAGCCTAAGTCTCTCTGGCCGTGTGGTGGGCCACATCCTCTCTGCTTGCCTCTCTAGCTGGAAGCTGTCCCTCTCTGGCATTTCTTACTAGGGTCAGTCTCTTGGGAGGGGCTGTAGATGAGCCTCAAAAGGCAAGGGAGGGTACGGATGGTGGAATAAAGAAAGAAAGGCTCTTCTGTCTTTTCTGCTGTTTCTCCAGTTATTTTCTGTCTCAGTTTCCCTCAGTTATCTAGAATGGTCCAAACCTTGGACCTGCTTTCTTCCAGTCCAAAAGATAATTTTACTTCTTAGAATATTATTTAAATATTCTTCCCTTTCTCTTAAAATCTATCGAGCTTCCCTCATAGATTTTAGTTTCAAAACCCAAACTTAAGATAAAAGATGAGCAAGTGTTTACTTGTTTGAACATTCCTCCCGTTTCCATATCTTACCCAGCGTTAAGTCTCACCCCGCTTTCGTGCCCATGCCAGCCCACCTTCATTTTTTCCTGTTTTAAAATTCCTGCAGTGTTAACTATACATACTTCTCATTTTCACATTCAATTACATAATGCCCCGAGTTATTTAACCACTCTGTGTGAAAATCTTGTTCCTTTTAGAGATTATAGACTGTTTCAAGGAAATGAGTATCTTTTTTGTTCTTTTGTGTACCCCCCAAGCCCGTCCCCACAGCACTCTGCCCAATGGTGTGGACTGAGTAGGTGTTGAACAAACTCTTCCTAGAAATGAAATTAACCCAACACACATCAGAGCTCCACCTTACTCAGCCCTGTTTTGGATGCTAGCTTCGTTAACTCTTTTCTCTCTCTCTCTCTAATGGAAACTAAAGACAAGATCCTGGTGGTGAAAGGGACCGAGTTTACTCTTAAATCTGCTAGTTGGATTTCTGTAGACCCTGGCATGTGCCAAACTGTTTAGAAAGCCTAGTTCAGGCTGGTACAGTGAAGGGAGGGAACTAGGAACCAAGGACCAGAGGCAAATAGGCTCTGTCACTTACAGGCGGTATGAACTTGGACAAGCCCTAAGCCTCAGTTTTTCTCATCTGTGGTCCAAAGAGACCCACACCGCCTCCCTCTACCTACCTCCTAGGGATGCTATAAGACTCAAATGAGTCTCAGATGTGACATTAACATACTCTTTAAACTGATGAAGTGCTATATTAATGTAAGAGATTTACATCCATAATCATAATGGCTAACATTTATTGCTTCCTGAGTTCTTACTGCGAGCGCTGTGTTCCAGGCACTGTTCTAAGTCTTCCACATTCTCAACTCATGCAGTGCTCACAATGACCCCACAGCAGAGGTACTATCATGATCCCTGTTTTGCAGATGAAGGAACTGAGGCACAGAGGGATTAAGTAATGTATTCAAGACCTCCCAGCTAGGAGGTGACAGAGCTGGGATATAAACCCAGGCAGTCTGGCTATGAGGTATCCATGGCTGCTGTGAAGAAGAAAGGGGAATGGGGGTGAAGGGCCACGAGAGTAAATGTAATCCAGTAACTTAAGGCTCTCTTTTGGGACAGCAAACCAAGGAGAAGGTGAAGCTCCTGATTCAGCTGGCCGATAGCTTTGTGGAAAAAGGCCACATTCACGCCACAGAGATCAGGAAATGGGTGACCACGGTGGACAAGCATTACAGAGACTTCTCCTTGAGGATGGGAAAATATCGGTATTCCCTAGAGAAAGCCCTAGGAGTCAACACAGAGGTAGGTATGGGGGTCGCCAATCTGGGACATCCCCCTTTCTCATCTTCATCAGCACGTCTGCTCTCATCACCATGGAAGGAAGCAGGGTTTCCAGAGCAGCCATTCTGAGCTGTTGACCCCTTGAGCACTTGCCTTGTATGGTTTTCTAGTGGAGGAGATGGACCTTGCTGAGCCACTGGCCTCCAGCACCCATGATTAGTGCTATAAGTATGGCAAAATTGGCTGGCCAGAGGTGGGGCCTATGGCTACCGAACAGAGTTTTTCTATGTGTAGACTTAACTGTTGGCTTGGAGGATTAAACCCTTTCTCTTGGCTTCATCAATACCATCTTCCACCCAATTATGTTAATTAGCAAATGATTAGAGTCCCCAGTAGATATAATAGGGCTCTTTCAAGAGTAAGGGGTGCAATTTGTGCAAAGGCTATTTGACATTTCAGCTGAAAAGAGGAACTATTTGCCATGAAGCAAAGGAAGACTGACTTTTAATCTCTTCTTTGTAATAGGGGTCAGTAACCTATAAATTAAGAGCTAAATACAGGCTGGCAATTTAATCCTAGGATCTCTAATTCTTAAATCTTTAAATAGGTTCGTGCTCTGAAGCAGAGCAGACTGAAGAGTGAAGTGATCAAACCACTAAAATTGAGGGAATTAATGTCTCCCCCAGGCTTTAACCTGTGAGATTTTTTTCTAGAGATTTCCATTTTATATAAATATCAAACAGTGGTTGACATCAACAGAGATGGGCAATTAGAAAATTCAGTAATTGTTCTATCACTTTGCTTTCTATTTCCAAGGGAAGTTGCTTGTTTCAGTAAAAATATTTGCTACTGTTATTTTCCCTTGACAAATGAAAGTTTTCTTCCATCTTTATGTGTTTCTGTTTCACATCTATTTTAATGGTTAATAATCAATCTTGGACTAATTTGTGTGGTGTGTTTAGATTTAATCACGACCAAAGTCCTTGGGGAAATATGACATTAATTATCAAATGTGTTCGTTGTTTTTCCCTGCTGTGGATATTAGCCCTGAACATTTGACCTGAACATTTTATATCTTTCTTACTTAAAAAAAAAAATGATCCTATGAAGAAGAGTGCTCGTGGGTGGCAGTTTGTGGGATCTGCTACCTTCTCATCCTTCTCCATTATATCTTTCTCTGTTCTTTTCCCTCTACCACCTCCCCCAACTCTGGTGACTTGCTTTCCCAAAGCATCTCTAAGGTGACCTCTGGAATCTCTCTATGTAGGATAACAAGGACCTGGAGCTGGACATCATCCCAGCAAGCCTTTCGGATCGTGAGGTCAAGCTACGGGACGCCAACCATGAAGTCAATGAAGAGAAGCGGAAGTCAGCCCGGAAGAAAGAGTATGTTTTGGGGAACGTCCACCCAACTAGCAGGCTCCTCATGACTGTGCCTGTTTTCGCTGCCACCTGTCCCTTTTGGCAGCTTAATGTGTCCCCATGACAACCTACAGAGGTTGGAATGGACAGACATGATGCGTCCATCCATTTACCTCTTATCAAGAACTGTAGGGCATTGGTTAGTGGAAACAATGAACCATGTCAGCCTTAAACCATTTCTTGATCATTCTGCTTTCTTTATATTAGTTTTACAAAGTTACACATATCCAGAGATCTTGCAAGGGCTTTATGAAGAATATTTTGACAGATTGCTTTTGGATAATGCTGGAAAAAATAGTGTGTCCTAAGATTAAGTAGCCCTATGTAGTTGATTTTGTCAAAACGAAGTAGGACTACAGGTCCCTTGAAGCTGAAGAAACTGAAGCTGGTCTGCAAAGTTGGAGCTTGTGTTTCATCTGGGGAGTGTATTAGTTTGTTTGGGCTGCTGCAATAAAGTAGGACAAATTGAGTGGTTTAAACAACTGAAATGTATTGTCTCACAGTTCTGGAGGTTGGAAGTCTGAAATCACCGCATTGGCAGGGTTGATTCCTTCTGCTGGCTGGGAAGGAAGGATTTGTTCTCGGCCTTTCTCTCTGCCCTGTAGATGCCGTCTTCGTGTTCACATGGTGTTTTCCCTGAATATATCCACATCCTCCCCTTTTTTAAGGGTACCAGTCATTTTGGAATAGGGGCCCACTCTACTCCAGTATGACATCATCTTAACTAATTACATCTGCAATGACTCTATTTCCAAATAAGGTCACATTCTGAGGTCCTCAGGGTTGGGACTTCAACATGAATTTGGTGGGGACACAATTCAGGTCACACCAGGGAGAGAAATGAGAAGACCACACTTGGCCAAATCTTCCTGCTGGGCTTTCTCCAGGACACCAAATAGCCAGAGGAGGGTAAAAGATGGGGGAAAAATAAAGCAAAATGGGGTAGAAGGTATTGGAGCTCAATTAAGAGGAAAGACAGTCAAAACTGCAGGAAGCAGATGGAGAAAAAGGGAGAAGAAAGGAGAAGAATGCCGGAAACCCAAGGCAGTAAAATCAAAGACAACTTTTCAAAGCGTGTCGGATTATGCTCCCTCTGATCTTCCTTCTTTCCTTGTTTACCGACCCCCTGCAGTGTACTAGAAACTTTGCTGACATGATCTTGTTTAATCCTTGCAACAATCCTCTGTGATCAGCTGCTTTATAAGCAGGGAGCCTGAGGCTTGCAGAAGGAAGTCCTACCTCTAGAAAATGACCAAGTTCACAATTCAATTCCTGTCTGTCTGATGTCAAAGCCCTTGCACTTTCCACTCTACCAATAGAGTAAGAATAGTAAAGAGAGTGGCTGATTAACTCCTGCAAAAGGGAATTTTTTTAATCAATACTTTAATTTTAATAGAAAAGCCACTGCTAGAAAAATGTATTGCTCTAAGGTATCACACCAAGAAAAAGATCCAGGAACAGACGCTGCTGATTTTAATATTTCTTGTGAAATTTCCAACATGGGGCACTTTAGGGACAATCTTTCTCAAAATTTTCATGTGATGAAACAGCTAGAAATAGGGGTACTCATGAATTACCATGAAAAACTGACATTGAAAATCTAAGATAAATGTATAAATATATACTTTGTACTAAGTGAGATATTATTGCATATCACATGCCAGCTAGGAAGCAGCATTTCTAATAAAAATTTGTGAAAGAAAGAAAATGAAGTAAGTACACTCTAATAAAGCCATACATCTAAGTTTAACAAGTGCCCCAGGACGTTGTGTCATTTAGGGTCCCACGGAGGAGGGGAGCCCTCTCCTGGCAGAGGTGTAGAACAGGCTTCTCTTTATGGAGACTGAAGAGCAGTTGCTCCACATTGTTAACTTGTGCTACGCTTGTGATCACATGCTGAGCTTCGTGCGCATCAGTGTGTGTTGTGAATGGGCCCCATTAGAAATAATGTTGAAGCGAACCAGATAATCTAGGCCAGAGGTCAGCAAACTATGGCCCACAGGCCAAATATGACCCATCACCTATTTTATATAGCCTATAAGCTAAAATTTATTTTTTATATTTTTTAATGGTTGAAAAACATCAAAAGAAGAATAGTATTTTGTGATGTGAAAATTAGGTGAAATTCTTTTGTGTCCATAAATAAAGTTTTATTAGAACACATCCACTTTTTTTTTTTTTACATATTGTCTGTGGCTCCTTTCACACTACAATGGCAAAGTTGAGTGGTTGTGATGGAGACTGAATGGCCCACAAATACTGCTATCTAGCTTTTTACAGAAAAAGTTTGCTAAACCCCCAGTCTCAGTGGTGGTGTATTGGGCATCTGTTCCTGACTTTTAAACCCCATTTAACTTAGGCTACTGCAAACTGTTTTGGGTACAAATCAACAGTTCTACCAAACAGAAATCATCATTCTGGGAGCTGTAAGAGAATGTAGGAAGCAGAGATTCGAGCTATCTAGTTGGTGAGAATGAATGTGAATGGTGCTGCATGCTTGTGCACACATGCAAACACACAAACATGCAACTGAGAACACATGCATATCAGCACAGAAGCACAAAATGGTAGAATTAGGGTAGGAAAGTGAGAGAGGATATGGACTAGCTGGGCACGAACATGCTGAAGGGATGCAGAGCAAGTGATCAGACTGAGGGGGACTCAGAGGCAAGGAGTTTTGAAGAAAGGAAGAGACGTATGTTGGTAAAGTAGAAAAATAGGGTATTCAAGACTGTCATAAATGCTGGAGTGGGGAAGTAAAGTTTGAAGGAAGAGGGGTATTATATCTCTAACCAACTAAAAGCCCATTTGTTTCCTTCTAGATTCATTATGGCTGAACTACTCCAGACAGAGAAAGCTTATGTAAGGGACTTACATGAGTGCTTAGAGGTAAGTCTTGCAGTCATCAGTTCACAGCTGCATAGGAAATATGACATCCTTGCCAGTGTCAAGTCCTCCAGGGGAGCTCAGTGTCCTTTGTCTTCACCCAGAGCTTAGCGTCTAAAAAGCCAACCAGAGGAACGCCGCCCACAGTCAATAGTAATTGCACGGGAGTTTAAGGTGCTTTTGAAAAGAAAATTCTCTCAGACTGGAGCAAGACCTAGCAAAAAAAAGTATGTAAGACATTCAAATTCAACATAAAAACCCTGACCAGTCAATGAACTCAAGTTGAGTCTGAAATCTGCGTCCTCCCCCAACACACACTCAAACACACACACAGTTGATATAATAAGAAGTGTGGCGTTTGTGCTCTTGCCAAAGTTCATGATGTGAGTTTCCCTAGCAATAGTTCAAGGTAATGGAACATTCAGGTTTTCTTTCCTTCCTTTCTGTTTGTTTGCCATCTCGCTTTTTACACACTACGTGCCTTCCCAGTCTGTCTGACTCCACAAGTTTGAAGGCCTGTTTATTTTGTCTGTATTTCACGTGACAGTACTGCCAGTGATGAAATTGTTGCTCTCTTACAGACCTACCTGTGGGAAATGACCAGTGGCGTGGAGGAGATCCCCCCTGGGATCCTCAATAAAGAGCATGTCATCTTTGGCAACATCCAGGAGATCTACGATTTTCATAACAAGTAGGTTGGTGGAGGGTTTCGGCAGAACACCTTTAGGGCTGTAAATACCCAACAACAGGGCTTCCCAACAAGGGGAGCAAAGCTGACTGGTAAATCTTGCTTGGTAAAGTATTACCTGTTAAATTTTCTATGTCGGTTGCTGTCAGACTTCTTTCTCACTCATCCCTCTTTCTCTGCAATTGTCCAAAAAGAAATTCCTAGTGGAGAGTGAAGTCAAGTATTCAACAGTGTCCCTCCCCTGCAAAACGAGTTCTCCTTGGGGACCTGACTGGCAACATCCTCATGCAAATGATAATTAGGCTTTGAGGACATAAAGTAGCTTTTACTCATTAAAACTATGGGGAATCCTGACATCAGAATTCATCTGAGCCTAACCATTCTACCTTGTGGGCCTTAGCTTTCAAATTCCATTGGAGTTTTCTTTCAGCCTAAGTGTTTCCTCTATCCCCAACTATTCCATCATCCCCACCCTCTACCAAAACAACATAAAAAAAAAAATTTGATAGATAATAGAAAATCAAAATACCTAATGAAACCCATTTCTAGACAGCTTATAGGTGAGAACATTGATCGACCCTGTATGTTTTGGTGAAATAAGGAGAACCATAGAACCCTAAAACCTCATAACTGATTCTCTCCAGCTTCCGCCTTGATTTAAGTATCTCCTCCACAGCAGACTAAACAACATGTTCCATTGTTAACAGAGGGTTAGCAAGAATGTTGGTTGATTAGTTATTTAACCAACTAATGGAAATGACACAGTTTTCAAAAGACAAATAGAATCTCAGGACACAAGGAATAATGTTGGCATAAAGTCCTCGAGCTCTCTCAGGAGCCTGCTGCAGAGAAGGGCTCAAAGGTAGACGTTCAGCGTTGTAGGATACAATTCAGAGGAAGTCCTGGAGTCAGGCTAGTCAAGGCTTCTCCTGAGTTAAGTAGTCATGCTGGAGATAAAACTGCCAGCTCCAAGAGTTCCTGAGGAGGCCACGGGTACAGGTGTAGCAGCCACCCTGAGGCAAGATGCTACAACAGCACTGTCCAGCAGAGCTTTCTGCAATGATGGAGATGTTCCATGTCTGTGCTGTCCAGTACAGTAGCCACTAGACGTGTGTGACTACTGAACACTTGAAATGTGACTAGAGCTACTGAGAACTGAATTTTTAACCTTATTTAATTTAATAAATTTAGATGGCTACCATATTGGACAGCTCAGCTCCAGAAAATGAGACCTCAGTAGGGCCTTTGCTAAGAATAACTAAGAGGCAAGCAAGAGTTGGGTATAAAAGATCCTGAGTTCTAAAAGGTTTAAATAAGGAGTGGAGAGTCACTCTTCTCTTGTCACCTTCTGATTATTAATCCCCTGTTGTGTCATCAAATCGTATCAGTTTAAAGAGAACATAAAATATGTAGCTCCCCGGACATGTTAACCTTGTCAGATTATGAAAGCAGTAAGCTCAAGGGGAAAAATCCTTCTGACTTTCTGGAGTACTTAATAAAAGTTCCCGGACTTGGGGCCGGCCCCATGGCCGGGTGGTTGGATTCACGCGTTCCGCTTCACCGTCCCAGGGTTTCGTGGGTTCAGGTCCTGGGCGCGGAAATGGCACCGCTCATCAAGCCATGCTGAGGCAGCGTCCCACATAGCACAACCAGAAGCACTCACAACTAGAATATACAACTATGTACTGGGGGCTTTGGGGAGAAGAAGAAGAAGAAAAAGAAAAAAGAGTTCTCAGTCTTTTTTTTTTTTTTTTTTTTTGAGGAAGATTGGCCCTAAGCTAACATCTGTGCCCATCTTCCTCTATTTTATATGTGGGATGCCTGCCACAGCATGGCTTGATAGGCACTGTGTAGATCCATGCCTGGGATTCAAACCGGCAAACCCCGGGACACAGAAGCAGAGTGGGTAAACTGAACCGCTACACCACCGGGCCAGTCCCCAAGTCTTTTTTTTTTAATCACAAATTTTAACATCCTCCATTTGGTTTATCTGGAAATCTCCAGATGTAGAAATTTTCTCTCCTCATGCCTATTTAGGAAGATCCCAATAAGGCCATTCTTGACTATTGATCCCAAATTGCATCATCTGAGCCCAGCTCAGCATTATCCCATCTCCCCCAGGATATCTGAGAAGACATCAGACTGGTAAGCAGTGAGTCATGTGACTTTACTTTTCTGATTTATGATCCCTGGGATTTAGTCAACAAGTCTCACTTTCCCCATATTCTTACCAAATTGGCTAAGCATAGGAATCTAGAGATGATAGTGTGCACTTCCTTTGAGTCCTGCTTTTGCTAAATCAGTCTGTAAGGGAAAGAATATTCATTTCAAAATGACCAATTCTAACAAAATATCTAGCATACCCGTGCCTCTTATTCTGGTTTCATGATGTCACTCTAGTAAGCCATGGTGAACAATTTGGTAGCTTTTTAAATAGCTGAAAGTCTACCTACCAGTTACAAAATATAGTTCTAAGAAACTCTTTTGAAAAAGTCAAGTCAAACCATATGGAGTGCTGCATTCTGTACAGGAATAAATTCAATTATCAAACACACAGCTACCCAGCAAATGTTACCTATTTATAACATTATAAAGAAACAAGAAGAAAATAAAAACCAGCCTCTGAGCAGCCAAAAGAGATAGCACAAAGATAAAGTTCCTATCTTTTCATAGAAGCCCCTTTCTTTCCTCCCTGAAAGCCACCTTACCCCTTGGTTAGATTGTTTCCAAGCCCTAGCAATTTAGAAGCAGCAACTAAGAATCAAGAACTTGATCAAGGCATTTGATACCAGCAGCATCAAGTAAGACCTGACAAGAAAGAAGACAGATGAACTTCAGAAAAAAAAAAATAGGCAAAGAACCCCCCAAAATCATAGTGGTCGAGGGCTCCTCAGTATTGGTGCAAACGATCCCGTATCCCAATATAGAGCCCACCACAGCCACTGTGTTACAGTATAGCATAATAATTGATATTAGTAACAACCCTGAATCATTAGTATGTTCTGCATTAAAAAGTAAGGAACGCTGTAATGCATTTAGGAAGGGATCCACCAAAAAAAACAGCTTTTTTAAATTATCCACAACTTAAGGGAACATCAAAGAAAATCAAGCTGTATATTAATTCCCTACAGGATCTAGAGGGCTAAGGCTTTACCCTACTCATAATATAGGCTTTCTACTTATGCTATACAAATTTTGATTAATGAAGAAAGCATAACGTCTCTAAAATCTCTAATACATAAGAGAGACAATGGCAACTAAGCCACCTTTGAAGATCCAGGAACTGAACTCCATGGGAGACCATGTCTTTCACTGCATAACCCCAGTGTCGGGCACACGGTAAACCTTAAGTAAGGATGGATGTTGGGTGGATGAATAGATGGATGGATGGATGGATGTTGGATGGATGGATAGATGGATGGATGACAGACGGACAGGACTAAAAAATAGAATTACAATTTGCAGACTTATGGCTAATGCCATTCAAGTCATAATTTAGTCTTTTGTTTGTGAAAGTCTCAAGGCAGGGAAAACCATTAGGTATGATTTTTTTTCCGCATCATGACTAGAACCTTCTAGACAAGCAAAATAATGGAATATCTGAATGAAGGAATTTCCTGGGAGCTTCTTAATAAGAGGAGCATAGAATGGTCCAAACACCTGTTTGCTCTCAGGAATGCTTTTCTGAAATGATCACTTTTTAACCTGAAAATATCCAAGGTTTTTTTAAAACCCCAATTGTTTGCATCTTTCCAAAGTTACAATTAAGTGCTATCTAACAGGGAAACATACTTCTCTCATTTCTGGTGCATAGCTCAGGTTATCTGCCTAAAGTCCAGAGAGAGAGGGAGGGAGGGAGGAAGACCAGGAGATGGAGAGATTGAGAGGCAGAGGGATTGAGACTGGCATTGCCTGGATAACCCAATTAGCTGAGTCCCCAGGAAATTAGTACCTAGACCAAGGGTGATATGACGAATATGTTAAATATCTCAGCAAGTTAGTATTGATCCTTTTAAATGGTGTCACTGAAAAATGACACCCAAGATTAGTTCTGTGTGTGTGTGTGAGAGAGACAGAGAGAGAGAGAGAAAGAGAGAGTTATCTTTCTCAAGGTCCTTTGCCTATATAGGTATCGAATGGAGAAATTGTCAAACACCAAAATTTCTACAAAGAAGAACAATTCAATGTGTAGAATTTAATACCTACAAGTAGCGGTTTTAACACACTTTGGAGGTTTAAGCAGAATGATACTTAGTCTTTACCCTCCTCTCTCCCCACTTTTGTACTACATCTCTTTTCTACAGAGCTAAATAGGCAGAGCATGAAACTTTATCTACATAAGAACTAGGTCCATTTCTACAGCATTTTGCTAAGCCTTCCAGGAGCACTCAGATAAGATAGTGTGTCCCAGAGATAGATCCCCCAAAGGGTGAGGGTGTTGTTAATGCCGTCCCCCCACTTTGACCAACTACAACTTGTAATTCAGGAAAATCATTTATTTTCAGTTTGCCTTGATTATGAGATTCTTAGCTCTGGTAAGGGCAGCTGTTTGTTTAAAATGCTCGTCAAAGTTAAATCGGAACTTTCCTTTTCCCTTTTTAGTTATTTGGAGATATGGCTGTATGTGAGACTGAGCAGGAACATTTTTATAAAATCTCTGCTGTCAGGGCTGAGGGTCTTCTTCACCGGCCGGTACAACCATCTCCACTTACAGATAAGGACACTGAGACCCTGAGAGAAGCCAATGCCTTGCCCAATATGTGACACCCCCTCCTTTAAAGATAAGGCATAGATTCTGGGGGTTTAGGCCCCCCCCACACCCATCAGTGCTCTCTCCCCTTCCGCCACTCCATAGACCACCAACTGGGATTGCCAGATCTGGTTGGTGTGGTTCATATCTATCCAGCTTGCATGTGGATCCCCAAATTGGAGGAACACTTTAACCCATTTCATCCAAGTCCTTATAGTACTTACCTGAAGAAGTCCGTTTTCAGCAAGGATTG